GTTGATACAGATAATCCAACGTGTGTTTTCTGCCACTCAGGCACTTAGAGAGGCATCTCTGTCAGCAGCACCTAACGCCTTCCCACTTAAGCTGCCAGCTTAAACTAGTAAAAGAAGATGCGCTGTCCTTACCGTTCGGCCTGCTAATCCAGACTTAGCTGCGTGGCGTCGGCTTCAGCTGACCTCCTCAGACAAGTGCTGACTGGGTACGTCCATCTTCATCACAGGTGAGGAGCATAGGCAGGAGTCCTTCTTTTTTCTCATGAATTGTCTCACAACTCCTTCGCCTCGCGAGTACGGGAGGTGTCCTGACTTGATTGAGGTCCAGGATGTCTTATTCTTCGATCATATTTGCTTTTCCATTGAACTCTTCTGAGTGGTGAAGATCAAAATCAACATTCCTCTGAATGTAAGCATGCTCTTTGTGGCACCCAGATTGATCCATTCAAAAGAAGAAGAAGGGAGGGAGAGAGCTTGAAGGGACTCTAGGCTTCGGTTCAGAAAACGCCCGTCAACATGTCTCTTCGCGCAGAACTTCTTGCTCTTCTGTTTTGCAAAAAAGAAAAGCCTTTAACCTAAAACAGAAGGGGAGAGCAGAGCTGAGGTGCAGTGGCATGCAATAAACAGATCCCACAGATGTCTTAACTTTTATCCCATCTGTTGAAGGACTCGCGTCCCCTCAGAGCACTTTGTCTTCACTGATGGAAGGACAATGCACATCTTACCCTCTTTTCCAGCAGCAGGTCCTCTGTTGTGCTCCCGGGGGGGTGGGGGAACTCTGCGGGTTGAGAGGATGGGTTAGGGTGAGGAGGGAGAGCGTGGTTACTCTGAGTGGAGCAGAGAGCTTCTTTCTGATGCCTCTGCTTGCCTCTCCCCCCCTCAAACTGTTGCTCCTCCTCCTCCATAGTTGTGCTTGTGGGCCGAGTCGGATTACTCCTGATATGTTAATCTTCCTGGCTCTAACTCCAGGAGCGCTAAAGGATGCTTTGGCCTGAGCAGGAGCTTACATTCACCTTCTGCCGCAAGGGAGTCTGCCATCTTAAGCAGGCAATTGGTAATAGCCTCAACTGGGCAGATAGGGTCTGCTGAAGCAAGTGCTTTCCAATCATTTAGGGGGAATTAGGAAAGTTCACAATTGGTTTAAAAGCCTCTGAGACGACATTAAAACCCATCTAAACAGAGTTATCACAAAAGAAGTGTTTTATGATTCAATCTGGAGTCAGCTGGAGATAAAACCATGACTCTTGTTGAGGATCTCACATTTCCCTCCTCTCCGGACCCGTGTTTCAGCCCGTGAGCCCTCGAGCGGCAAATGAGGAGCAGATGGTCGTACTTTTGGAAGGTATCAGGCAGTCCAGACTGCAATCTAAATAAATACCCTGCTCCCAGAGGAAATGTGTCAGGTGCGCGGGGTCGGTAATGTCTAAACAGAATCCAACCTGTTTAGAGATGAGCTAACCAATGCACAAGATCGGAGGAGATGCCACAAAACTCCACAGGTGTTGCTTTTAGGGCGCGTAAACCTTCTTGATAAATTAGCTCAAGAGGTGTGTTTGAAGCCGGTGATGGATAAATAAATTTGAACATAAACCAGCAACACAACAGGAAGCAAATTATTTGCTAACAATTATCTTATTTTAAAAACATGACTCATTTGGACACACTCAGCCCAGTGTCAACACAAATCATAGTTTACAGGCGAAGATGTGGTTCACTGTTTACGTTCTATGCCTCATAGATACTTTAGAAATGAGTGGGAACAAAATGGAAATACCAGAGGAATTTCCTGCCGGCTTTTAAGTTCAGATGACATAAAACCAAGGAGCTAAAACTGGTTGTGCTTTTGGTGCTTGTAGTGATACCCAGAAAAAAATATTTCTAACCATTCAAGGATAATTACCAGCCACAGAGATGGAGCTTCCCCTCAACATGTTTAAACACATGAATCTTTATTTCAAACTGAATTTTCTGAAGGGAGAAGCATAACGGGGAGATTGCTGGTCTTTTTGTCCCTTTGCCACTTCATACATTAAATGTTTTAGTTTCTTCTGGGTATGAAATGGGGCTGTTCACAACACAAAGTTTCGTCCAAGGAGATCTACTGGACCACGGATCCAGAAACTACACCAATACCACCTTAACCATCTTCCAGATACAAACTAGAAATTACTTTGCACAGTGGTATTCTGACAAAGCAATACATTCTAAAATTTATCATCTTTGAATTGATGGATTAATTTGACAAGCAGAGGTCGAAGTGTGCTATGTACACAAAAAATGATACAAATCATAACAGGTGCAACTAAACAGTTTACTACTGCAGCTGTTTCTGTTTTCAACCATCAGGAGCCATATTGAATTTTAAGGCTGAAGTTGGTGAAAAACTTCAGATTTTAATTATTGTAGTTCATACTTTAGATGACTTTTCTGTTTATTTTCCCCAACCTGGAACATGGAAATTTCCACTTCTGAGTACAACTAGATAAATAAAACATGCAAATCTGAATAAAATTGACAGTATTTTTAGTTTTGCCTAGGAAGGGACATAATCCCTCAGGTTGCACACAGATTTGCATGTTCGTGTATGAACGTGGCTTCATGAGACTCACAGTAAAGCAGTTTTAAATTTGTTGTAATACAGACTGCTACAGATCTTTCCTGGCAACAGCCACATATAAATGGCCACATTTATGTTTGTTGTAAATTTTACGACAACATTTAATTTATCTTTGGGGTCAATAAAATATTTTTAATTGAATTTAATTTGAAACTAACAAGGGAAGTGCTGTACTAGTTCAGACCATTTACTAATTAAAGGGGATAATGCAGAGAACTTCCAAAACGGACAACTGAACCAATGTAAACTGCCTTCTTTTAAGTTGAAATCTGAACTCGGATTACATCAAACCCAATTCAACTCTATCCTAATAGCAAATCAGACAATTGGATAGAGATATCCTAAGTACTATGCTGCTGCAGTGTGAATTATACTTGAACTCATTCAGAATTGCTTACACCTCCCTATTTTAATAATGCAAACATATACTATGCATTATTATATACAGTTTAAACTTATCACTACCACAGAAGCTAATTTTTCCTCATTTCTACTGTTCAGAGTACATCCAATAGGCACCAAGGAAAATGAATGTTGCTCCTGGATTGGCTGCTTTACAAATGGCAGCATTGCAGCTAGCTACTTCAACGTCCCAAGCTGTATTTAATTTCAATTATCTTTGAAGTGCTCTATGGCAATTTATGGGGGAATAATATGAAATTCTATTACCCAAAAAATTAGCAAAAAGGGTGGGGCTCCACTACACTACTGCTATTATTTTTTCCGAATGTATTTTTTAGATGCAAATAAATATACAGTGTGCTGCTGCAGGTATAGTTTTTTTTTTTTTTTTTTTTTTTTTACATTTTGCAGCCATATTGGATTTTGAGCCTGGTGTTGGTGACAAACCTTAAGCTTTCCTGCTTAAAATACAAAATAAAATTCAGAGGATATTTCTGTTTATTTTTTTTCCTCACTAATTGCAGCTTGAAAATTCAAACAAAAATGTTTCAACCAGATATGTTGTTTTTTCAAAATGAAAAAACACAACTAACTGAAAAAGTCCAAACCTATTGTATTTATTAGTGTGGTGGTTCTTGGAAATGTAACTATTTAGTGAGATGGTTCCTATTAGAAAGGGAGATTATAAAAAATTATCTGTCTTATTGTTTAAAGTACAACGGAGATCAGCAATGTGCCAAGAAATGAAGAAAGAATTTCTCGTCTTTCTAACTCTTGGGGTATTTTTCTAGCAGTCAGCAGGTGCAAATCCCACTTTGAAAAGGCAAAGCAGACATGATTATTCGCACTAATTTTGACATAAAGTTCAGTTGCGGGCCAGAACAGCACACGTAAACATATAACGACTTCCAGTTAGCAGGAGAGGTCATGCTTTTGTAGCCTTAAAAGGGATCCATCGGCACAGAAACATTTCCTAAGAGGAACATTTTTGCGTTATACATCTTGTTCACAGATGTGTAAGTATTCAAAGCCCAGCCCTGACTGTTTGCTAAAGCCTAACAGCTGTTAATTGCAAAATCAAGTCAGAGACAGCGCGAGTCAAACAAGGAGTTTGTATACACTGCAAAGTCTCTCTCAACAGCAAAGATTACATTAGTCAGAAAGACTTGCATTTGAACATGCAAGAACAAAGAAAAGGAAAACAAAGAATTTTTCCAATCTTTATATGATCAAGATCCATATGCTGGGGATTGAACATTTTCCGCTGGGCGTGGATGAGTGAAGAACTGCTTTCTGTTTAGTTTGGGGCAAGATTTTAAGGAAGCCCTCAATCAGTAACACTATAAACAAACCATTCCAGTTGAGGTGTCATTAAAACGACTGGAAATCAGGCACAAGCATTGCTGCTCTGGTCTTGCACAATCTGCGGTTTGACGATTGGACAAGTGGCCCTTTTGCCAAACTGTCATCTTGGCGAGTGGAAAGCTACTTTCCAAAGACTCTGAGTCTAAACAGACATTTCTGCACAGAAAGCAGAAGGATAATGAGAGCTTTGTCTGACTTTTTTTTTTTTATGTTGACAGACAACGACATTTTGTCTGAGAGACTTGGTAAGGTAAATGGCTCCTGGCTGAGGAACAAATATACAAGGCAATTTGCTACTATGATCAGAAGAAGAGAGGCCAAGAGGTGAAGATGCCTCTAATCTTCCCAAAGAACCCTTTTGGGTTTTGGACATTTTAACTTCAGATTCTTCTGGTGCAGCTTAGGCTACACCCACTCCCCCTAGAGGGTGGGGGAAGACGGTTTTTTTTTTTTTTTTACCAGGGGGGCCTTCAACTCCATTCAATTACAATCAATCTCAACTGTTTAAAAGCATGATAAAGTGAACAAAGTGTCAGGAAACACTATTTAGCACAAGTAAATGCTGCCCTCACCTGTCAGTGGTTCCTAACTACATGCAGAAATGACTGAACATTCATCAGCAGAACTTAATTCTTTAATGGAAACAAATTTTCTGTCTTCTTGTGTCAGATTTTTGAGTTTTTTCTTCTCAGCTCAGTCTTCTTTCTGATCTCCTCTAAAGCCATTTCATTCAAGAAAGTCATATTTCTGCCTTCTGGCATTAAAACCTTTGGTATCATCGGGGCCAAAGGGCTGACGCAGGACTTTCAGTATTAAGCCGGTCGTGTTCAGGTGCTCAGCCGTCTCCAGCTTTGCTGCACTGGCTGCGGATTTGCGCTTTAGTACCCACGGGCACTGAGAAAACGGTGTGTTGCGGTCTCCGGAGCACCAGTCTGTCCAGCTGTATCTCTTAGTTAATCCTCGCAATGACTTTTGACTGCAGTTGGAGTCCTCCTGGACTGCTGGAGGAGGATATGCTTCTCCAGTTTCTTCAGAAAACCTGAGAGGTGAGGGAAGGTCCTGCTGGAGCAAAACCTCCGAGATGTTCTGAGGGTCTCCCATAGAACATGTGGCGTCTCCTTTGTTCTCTGATGGATCAAACTTATTGATGCTCTGCACTGACTGCCATCCCAGTGGCACCACACACAGGCCCCTCCCATTAATCTTTTCTTCTTCTCTGAGAGAGCTGTAGGCCCTACGGACCGATTCCAAACTATTAAACTTCATCACAGCGCACAGAATCTGGCCGAGCTCTTTGTGACGTTTGGCATAGCATTGCAGCTCTTTGGGAAGCTCCTCTCCGGGATGCAGGATCCAGACTGACGCGACGTCACCCGGCGAGTCAAACCTCTGGAGGATGCTCAGTAAGAGCGAAGACTGCCCTGGGTCAGCTCCGTCCTCTCCGCTCTGCTCCTCTGAAGCGTTCCAGATGAGGAGGAGCCGACTGGTGGGGGAGCACATCAGCCACTGAGGGAGAGCCTCTTTGCGTCGCACTTTGGTGCATTCCTCGTTCAACTCCAGGAGATTTGAGCACTCTGCGGCCGCTAGAGTCATGTACCAGTTCGTGGTCAGAGCCTTTATCTGCGGCAAATATTTAACATTTTAGCTTTGTTTGCATTTTTACTGCGTTGTTTCTATTCAAACTGCATCAGAGTTCACAAACCTTACCTTTTTCAGACAAGTGAGAAGCTTGAGACTAACATAGCCCTGCTTGTTCTTCTGCATGTGTTTTAGCAGGAAGCCATCCTCCGCCAGGTGACTGTCGGAGAACATTTCCTCCAAGTGATCTTTAATCTTCAGGCAGAGTAACTGTGCTTCACGGTCTTCAGCATCCTGGTTGGATTCTGCATCATTTCTACAACACATTTTACAGTATAGTGTAAAAGCCAGCAGCATAGGTTAGTCGAGCCTATGGTTTTATGTGTTCTTACCCATTCAGATCACTCATTGTGCCTCCTAATGGTGCCGTTTCTGGCATTTTCCACGTGAAATACAGATATTCAAAAAGAGAATAACAAAAAACTACTGCAAAAGTATAAAACAGAGTGCGTAAAGTTTGTTTCTCCAGCCACAGTGATGCCAGTTGCTTTGTGTGGTATCCAAAACAACATTTTGTAAAATGCCACAGCCAGAATTCTGCCCAACACAATGCAGCCCCACAAAAACAGAGAGAACTTGCAGTCAAAACAATTTACTCTGCTACAAATGAGCTTCATGTGGGCGCACAATTAGCTGTCATGAAGTGAATATTATTAGCGCCAAAACTAAGCTGCACAGAAGAGATAACAGCAGCACGCCAACACAAAAGAGCAGCGACACCATTAAAGGTGTGAATTTCTGCAGTGCAGTTTAGAGCTGAGAGCACAATTGAACCAGAAATGCGATTCTGCTTAATTCCAACGTACACAATGCTGTGCGGTCTATAGAAGCATTTAAGTGTAAACAAAACCTGTCACTTAAATCCAGCTTTATGTTCTGCTTTCTGTTCTCATCTCCTCAGATATGATTCATCTGAGTCAGCAGGCCAAGAGAAGCAAATTTATCACTTAACGTTCATTTGCTTTAAGAAAGAAAGGTCCTTGTTCATATGTGATACATGTATGATGCAGACATAAACCAATGCAATCCCCCCCCGGATTAAATGCTATCAGTCTGTATGGAGGTATGAAATTCTGCTGAAAGGGAGACTGTGAATTTGAAGCATGGAGGGAAGCAGAGATTACGAGAGAGGAAGGAGTTCTGAACCCAAAATACATTAAATATTTTTGCTAAAGTAGATTTTGGTAATTCTATGAAACTCAAAGCTGAGGTCGGTGAAATTTATCATGTTTAAATGGGAGTCGTGTTTTCACAGCAAAATACCAGAGCCGCTTGAAAGTCTTACATTTTTGTGACTCGTTTGTTACACGTGAAAAGCAAACAGAGATTTCAGGCACTTAAGAATCAACAGTGTTCTTCTCTGTCTCTTACATGTTTCTCATTCCAGATTGTTTGCAGAAGGTGGTGCATTTAGCATTTCTGCTGTGGGAACGCTTTGAGAAGGCAGAGACTGGAAAAGGCATTTAGAGCGCAATGGTTCTCAGGCATTTTCTAACAGCTGGGCCAGTACAGATGGAAGTCTTTTGGAGGGTTATTGTTATGTGTTAAAAACACAAAGAAATGGAGAGGGAAAAAGATTGGATTGACTGGTATTGGTCGGAGGACACAAAACAGCAGTGGGTGTCATTTTCACTCCAAAGCAAAAGTTGTTTAGATTAAAGTTAGAAAAATGAACAAAAAGTCAGAATTGGCTGCTCTGCACAGAATGTAGAACACTTTAAATTCATTATTTTTATGTCCTCAAATTTTCTTAAACTGTCTTAAGTTCAAACACCAACACTGTTGAAAAATAAAAAAAAATCAAATGCTGGCATTATCTCACACATGCTAATAGCAGTTAGCCTTTGCGCTGAGCATGCCAGTCAAATTTTAAGCCTCATTTGAAAGTTTCATTTTGTTGTAAAACTACCAAAAATAAATGAAATAAATAAATATAGTAATTTTTTTACAAGAAAATATTAGCAGGTTACCTAAGATCTGATTTCTAGATAGCACAATACTTTTGTACTTTAACTGTCATACTTTAAAAGTAATAAATGCTATTGGTAGTTTGCTTATCGATTGTTCGAACAAACAATGGTTTTTAAGCATGAAGCTGACCTGTTCGGGTTGGTATGCTTTAATTTTTACAGCATTTACACACAGTACTATAAAACCTCATTGAGTTTAACATGATGCTGCTGTAGATACTAAATTAAATGCATAAGTATTTATCTAGTGTCCATGTGCTAAAAGTAGTTAGCCTAGTGTATAAGCCACCAAATCCAATCGGTTTTCAAATGTAAAACAAACCTCTTAAATAGAGTCCAATGTCCCAGTTTGATGTAATAAGTACAATATTCCCCCACTAGTTAACTTATTGTTTTAAGATTTGAAAATAAATAATGTCTCACTAGATTTGATATGCAAGTAGCCTAGCATAAGCGTTAACTCACAATTGTTCCTGAGCCTGGAACAGGAGAGTTATGTTGGCTGTGTGAAATTATGAAATGCAGTCACACATTACTAGATTTTATATGGTTAGCATATTCCAAGTTAGTCGTGGAGCATCAGAGCCAGAGGCGATGAATCAGAATAATTGGGCGTCTCCACCTGTTTCCGATTGACTTTGCAATTGGAGATCTCAAGGTTTCCTCATTTATGCTTCTCTTGAGTTGTTTTTGATGGTGCACTATTGTGCTTGAGCAGTTTTAAATATATGTGCTGTTGTTGCTTTTTAGTTTTATTTTCTCTTATGTCTAAGCATAGCGACATTTCTGCGAAGTTCCATTAAAGGCACTGCAGTTTGAGAACCAAGGCTATGTACAATAGATTTCTAGACCTGATTGATTAGTGGAAATACAGGAAGAATTTATTCGAAAAGTTTTCTGAACTCTGTGGATGTGGAAAACACGTCTAAAATAATTTGAATAACAGTGAAATATTAGAAAAACCTACAAAGAAATCACTTGAGGACCTGAAAATCCTTTTTTCTCCTGTTATGAAAATAGTGAGCGGGTTGAGATTTAAAATAGCAATTCTGTCTCTAAGCATTATCTTAGCTGATGACTCTCTTCCTGTTGAACTGAACCAGCTTCTGAGTATTTTTAAAGTCTCTATGGAGAAAACATTTCAAACACTGTCATCAGATTGCGATTCTGGCCACTTCTTACTGGTGCATGGAAACAAATAGCATCACTTTCCCCAAGGACAGCTCACCCCCACCAGACATGTGACGAGAGCAAATACAAAAACACAAATTATGCTGTCTCTCTGATGTGAAATCACCAGAGACGTTCTTTTAAGAAATGACTAAGCCGTCATGATGACAACTGAACAATCTCAGTTTTGTCGCAGCAGGCTGGTAGATGTGGCTGAAAACTCTGATAAAGTTGATAAGAAGATTTTGTCTATTTGGTAAATAATAGTATTTTTCTCTAAGAATGGACCGCCTTCCACACTTATTGGCTTCGCTGTTAACAATATGTTGTTTTTGTTAAAAAAAAGGCCAAACTTCCTTTTTTTTTTACAGCCGTAATAATAGTAAAGATTTGGTCCATTTTAATAGTGAAGTTTAAACATTTCATCACCTCCCTTAATATTCTTCCTATAGCAGCACATTATGTCAAGTTTCCATCACATTATTATTGCATGGAATATAGTAATCATAAATTATTTGTGTGTAATATTTGGAAAGAATTTTCAGTGTAATGCCTATAAATACTTAAATATCAAGTATTTACATCCTGCCTGTTCTTGATCTTTAGCAGCTGAGATGGTACAACTCAAAGCATTGTGGGATATTGTCATGAAGGAAGAGTCAAACATATGGGTTAATCATACTTGGTGTCTTCACACACTTCACACACTCCTTGAAGTGTGTGATGGTGGCAAGATAATCTTGGATGTTTTGTTGGTCGCATTTGGCTCTTAACGTAGAAAAGGGCAACTTTGGTGGAAGACGTTGTCTTGTAGGGACTTGATGTTTTACTAGAATTACGTTTTCTTGTGTTTCCCATTTTAAAGGTTTAGTGGATTAGACCCTGGGTTGAATCCAGAAGAACTCATGGTTGGAAGCTTTTTCTATGTAATCCAATATTACATTGACAAATGCAGACATTTTTTCTTAGAGCATATGTAAAATATTTGAAATAAAATGCAGCTTCAACACATCGGTGCTATGCTATTTGACACACTATTGGCTGTGTTTGCAAAGCAGCCGATCAAGGAGCTTCTTTTATTTTCCTTGATACTGGTTAGCTTTACCTCCAAGAGTGGAAATAAGGAAGGATGTTAGCATCTGCAGTAACTCTAAAATGGTTTCCACTGTGTATTAATGCATAGTAAGATACATTTTTATAGTTAAAATGGGCAGCTATGGCTAATTTTTGAGGCATTAAGTGTTTGTGGCTGTGGTGTTATAGTTAAACAGGATACAGCAGACTACTAGTTAAGTTTCTAGTCCATTAGTCAACAACCTTTCAGCACAGAACAATTTTTGCCTGTGCAAAAAACATTAGCATTGTTTGAAGTTAAGAACCGATGTGTAACAGCAAAAATCCTTTAGTTACATTTATGTGGAATTGTTGGTGTGATAATTGTATTATCTAAAATACGTTTTTTCTCATCTTTTCCCTTTACAAATTAATGTACTTGGTCATTCAGTCTAAAGCCATAAAAGATTACACAGGAGCACACTAAAACTCAAAATAGATTTTTGATCGGCAAATAAATCAGACAACCCTCTGGTGGTTTTATGCAGAAGTGAAATTGAAAATCATTACAAGGAGATGATCTAAAAAGTACTTTCACTATCAACCCATGCATTGCAAAAAGTCAAACCAAGAATCAAAGCATTCAAAGCCGGTCTTTGTACAAAAACCCAATTATTTAACTTTATTAACATCAAGGTTTTTCTTTTTCATTTTATCAACAGTTGATTCTTTAGTTCCAGTTCTTTATCAACAGATAGAAAACAGACTGTGTGTACAACAGATTGAACCCCTACAGCACTAAGCATTCACAAGGTAGAAATGACATTTTTTTTTTTTTTTCAGGTCCTCCCCCTCCTTCCTCTCCTCGACCCGGTTGGATCGGACGCTGCTGTTCCCGCGGGTCGTGTAGAAGGTGTGTGCTCGCCCAGTGAAGAGTTGTCAGCTTTGATGATGGTTGAGGGGAGAGGCGGGGTTGTGCTGCTTCCTCACATGGACAACCAGCTGTTGAAGTTACAATGATAGTACAGTAGATACAATGGTGTCTCCATTAATACACACTCTAGGACAGCAGGCTCTGTCTCCAGGTAGATCAGCAGAAATATTCCTTTTTAACAATATATTTTTGAAGCTGTGTATATATCTATGTGTAATCGTACATATATATAATCAGTCATAATTATATATATGTGTATATATATATTTATAGTTCTATTTCTGTATAAAATATCAGGTTTCAGTCCAAAGGGCTGAGTTTCTGTCCCTCTGTAGGAATGGTTGATTCTGTACAAGTACCGATGCTGATGGCTCGGCTCTCCCAACTCATAACGAACCACTTCCGCTTGGCGAACCCGATCGAGCTCGATGGCGAGAAGCGAGGACACGGGGAGGGACTTGAAGAGCATCTCGACTTTATTCAGAGATCGTGAGTTTTTGTGTTTTCCTGTCGCCCACCCCTTGGGTACAAAAGTCTGCTTTCTTCAGGTAAGTTCTCCGCTGTGGAGCATGAAGGCCTCAATGCCATAGGCTTCTGATGAAAAACAAACCTAAAAAATAGGAAAAATTCAAACAATAACAGAAATTATGTGCTTCGCATTTTCTGTGCGCCTTGTGCGAGTTGTGTTTCAGCGTTCTGCTGCGATTACAGAGGGACAACTACAGCAAGTCTGTGTTCTCAAATCAAATCTCAAAGTCGATTTTCGTAACGGCAAGTGAAAAGGCAATTCGAGTTGTTGAACTGACAATTACCATAAGGAACTATGAGAACATCAAAACAATGATAAAAGAAACCTGAAAGCAGCTTGGACAACAGTGGTCCTCTTGTATTAGTATCGAGAGGCATGTTAAAAACACATGTCTCCGTGTGCTAACGTACCCTAAAAACGATTATGAATATAATGCTTGCTCCTCTGAGCAGGTTGAAACAAAAAAAAAAAAAAAAAAAGAAATGTCTGGTGTTAAAATGATTAATAAAAACAACATAAAAAAGTATACTAAACAATAACTTGTCATGATAAATCATATTGACAAATCACCAAAAAGATGAAAACAGAGAGGATGCTCTCTTTGTGCTACCAGTAGCCTTTGACAATCAGGGAGGTTTGGCTTCGACAGGAATCTGCTCTGTCGCATCTGTACAAGAGTCGTCGCTGTTTCTGTCATCTTTAAAGCAAAAAATATTGGGCGGTTGGTGATCTCGACGTATATCTCTGTGATTAGTTGGAAAACCCTTGACGGATGGCGGCGAGCTCGTCCCGTTCTCCGGGAGCCAGGGGTCGAGAATCGGGACGGGTCGGGGTTTGGTTGAGGGGGGGGGGGGGTCAAGTGATTGGAAGGATGGCGGCTGAAATGGGACACTTGGCACACTCCTGAGAGGTCTGACCGGGGAGAGCTGCTTCGGTGGGAGAGTGGTTACGTTGCATAGTGGTCAAAGCTCCCCAGGTACTCCAGTGCTGCCCTGTAGCACAGCTGGTACTGGTCCTGGTGGGAAGGAGGACAAAGTAGTGAGTAGGTGTTCTGATTCCCCTCCCATGATATGCTGCCTTGTGATTATGTATAATAATTGAGCTTGTGATAAACCAACAGAAAGTAAAGCAAATAAAAAATATTTGACAGAAAATGCAACTTTGGAGGCGTACATCTTGCGGCACAATGCTGCTTAACACGCTATTGGCTGGTGATTGCAAAGCAGCCAATGCAGGAGCGCCTTTCATTTCCCTTGGTGCTGATTGGCTGTTCTCACAAGAGTGGAAAGAAGGATTGGTTGCTAAGATGATCTCCGCTGTTTGTTTTGATGCATGTTAAGTTACATACAGAATTTACATACAGGTCTCAAGTATTCAAATTTCAGGTTTTTGTGGGCAGTGGTGTCCAAACTATCCAAATTTAAACTAAAAACACAATCATTTGTGTGACATTTGTTTATTTTTTTCGTTTTATCGAGCCCATCTGATTCAGGTGTGTTGGACCACCTAAAAGTTGCAGGATGCGGCTCCTAGAGGTCTGGAGGTAAAAACATGTTCATGTTTTAGACCCAGATTTGTAGCAAAATCTAAAAATGGGATTTCTCCTAATTTGCCTGTTTCTGTATAAATACTCAGAAAATCATGTCTATTTGGATTCACTTTCACAGCATGCTCTGCTTTGTGTTGATCCATCGCATAAAATCCCAGTGAATTATATCTCTGGGTTTAGAGGTTACAACACGTCTGGAGTCTTTTTGGCAAATTTAAAAACCAAAAACATTGAAATCCTTCCTAAGATTAGTTTTAATATCCTTCATTTGCTACAGAGTCCATGTATTTGATAAAAAAAAGAAAAAAGAAAAATCTGATAACACAGCATGAGTTTGTTGTGGGATTCCTGCTGCACCACTAAAGCCTCTATTAAGGTGGGATTTGTCACTAAGTCTTTGTTGTTGTGCAGCCCATCCTTTAAAGGAGGACACTTTGGACAGCATCAGTCTTGAATCTCGCAGCGATTCCAGCATTAACTTTCAAACAGCATCCTGTCTGAGTGCGCATTAAAGTCTGAACAACATCCTGAGCATCAGCGCGTCGTCCTGACCTCAGTCTGCACCATGGCGGGCCGCTGGGTGCGGAGCGTCTTCACCGTCTGGAAGAGGTCCACCACGCCCTCATACCTCATCCGCTCCAGCACGATGCTGAGGGTGATGAAGACTCCGGTCCTGCCTACCCCGGCACTGTGAGAGCACACACACACATTCATTACTGCATTTACCATAACATCTCACATGATGGATGCTGGAAATTTCTCAGACGGTGAAAAAGAAAAACCCTCTAAAAAGTCATTTTAGTTTTATTGCTTCTGGTTTACTGAACTCCGGAGGGGAAACAGTGCAGGTACATTAGCAGCGGCTCACAATAAAGCAAATAAAAGTTAGAGTAATTATCACGGAGGCCACAAATCTAAATGATGAAATTTGAGTAGGAGACTGTCAGAGATAATGATGACGCTACGAGAGACCGCATGATTAAAACCCAGATTGCTAACAAATGACTGTATTTAAAAGGTGAAACAGAGGTTCACCTTTCTAATCCTTGATTGATAATCTCCTTGACATATCATGTACAGGTTTTTGACTTTTGTCAAATAATCAGTTACTTTGTGTTGTTAGTTCACTCCATGCTGTATCTGGCATAACTTTTGCTTTCTCTTTGACCACTCTCCTTTTGAAAAAGGTTTGAGTTTATTTAAATTGGTTAATTTCATGACACAAGCCACACTTTAGACATACTTCATCGATTTTAAATAATTGTGTGTAGCTTAAACCAGAGCTGAAATGATCAATCAGATTAATTGATTATTTAAATCATCAACTAATTTAGCATTCGATTAATTGTTAACTGGATTAACAATCAAAAAAATGTGAAAGAACAACATACTCAGAGCAGTAATTAAACTAAATCTTTACCAAAATATAAACATTTTTGCTTTTACTGACTGTTTTAGGTGAAGCAGGAAGGGCTGATGTTAGAAAAAGTTTTTAGCTCCAGACATATCCTTTGCTGCAAAATGATCAAGTGTTCACTAAACTAATGCTGTTTAATTGCATATAAAATAAAACATTCTTATTTAAACGACTTATTTATTTGCATCTCTTAATGTATTTCTAATATTGTGTAAAAAGGATTAAGGTGTAAATGAAATCTCTAGAATGTGTCTTTTTTTATCTGATTAATTGATTTCTAAATTAATCATTAGTTGCAGTCCTACTCTTGAGTTATTTAGTCCGGAAAGCAGAGTAATCAGTTACCATTGTTACGCCGTTCTTACCTGCAGTGTACAGTGATTGGTCCGTCTTGTCCAAACTGCTCCTTAGTTTTGTGCACTTGTCCAATGAAATCGATGAAGCCCTCTCCAGTTTTTGGCACTCCCTGCTCAGGCCAGTCGGTGAACTGGAACTGGCGGATTGTTCTGGATTGTCCATCCTGCCGGGAACAGATATGGATTTTCAGTACGGTTGAACCAGGCTGTTATTTGCAGATACCGCAATAAAATAAATAAATAACAGCAAGTCAGAGGTCCAAGTTGAGGTCTATGTGAGTGCATCTAATTTCCACCTGGGTTGTGATTTAAATAAAGCCGACAACCAAGATGGGAGACGAAACCAGCAGGTTGCAGCTCTGAGGTATTTTTTTTTTCCCTCCCGTCTGTCCAGAATTTGCCTCTTTTGTTTAAAATATAATCACTTTAAATGGCTCCCATGTTTATGCAGTGAAAGCATACATTTAGAAGCAAAGACTGTGAGCCACATGTATATAAAAGAAGAAGTGGATGTGGGATTAGAGTGCAGCAGCCGTGGGAGCCTTCAGATGACACTGAGGTGTATTTATAGCACATTGAAACTACTGCATCACAGGGAGTTCCAGTACTGCCCCCTTAAGGGACCCAAGCATGTGCTTTTCATGTATTTTCACAGCAAATCACATACATCCACGCACACCGAAGACAATCTATAGAGCAAGCCTACTGTTTCTAAATTTGGGTAAACACGGCACATTCACTGGGTGTCAGCCTGTCAGGGAAAATAACACGGGACGCGTTCTGATCACTGCTGCTGTTTCTGATGAGAGCTAAAGTGAGGATAGATTCTGGTTTCTGAGAGTTGCTGGGGATTTTGAAGGAAGCCCACAGACACTTCTTTTTTTCTCTCTCAACGTACCCTGGCATCTGTGACTTTGAACTCTCTGAGGATGTACTGAGGCATGTTGTACTCAGCCATTGGATCCACCACAAAGTACTGGTACCTGGCGGAACGCTCTGCTGGCCAGTACTGATGGCATTTCTCCTGCAAGAAGAAAGAAATTTTCAACAAAATCCGTCTGGATGAAAGAAAAACCCGCTTTTTCATTCTAACTTAATGACTGCCTTGTGATCACATGTGGCTTACTGGAAGTTATTAATCATTTTTCAGCAATGGAAATGTCTCTGCTCACAAAAGAGAATCCCAAAAGACTAATCTATGGTTTAGAAAAACTGATTCATCTTCGGTGGCAAAATATTTACATAATTTGTTAGTGTTCTTAACTACAATCATGAGGGCTTTTATTTCTATCAGTGCCGCTTATGGTTGAGAGGGTGATAAAAGCTGGAGCTGCGCGGCGGAGTCAGAATCGCCTAAATCATCAGCAGAAATGACTAAAATTAATTTGATGGGGGACCAAAACACTTCTGCAGATTTTGCCTTTCAAAGGAACTGATTAACGTTTAGGTAACTTCTTCTAGTTGTTCTACTTCTACACATGGGATGACATAATAGAGCAGCTTTCAAAAGTTTTCATACCAGTCGTGCTTTGTACAGGTCTGTCCTTTATGGACTGTTGAATGAAAGTGACACTAAATGTGTTTTCACACCTGATAGTTTGGTACATTTGGGGATCAAACTTACAAACTCCTGCTCCCCTCCTCGCTTATGTAACTACTGAAGGAAATGACACAAAAGCATCAGAAGAAAACCTGAACACAACTTCCTATTTCACAAAATCTCAACAAAAATGAAGTGGTTTCAGATTTTAGCGGTCGTGAAATTTCTCGTTTGTCTTTGGCAGAAAACTACAAGCCATTGGTCCTGGTAGAGCCAGACAGAGGAGTTTGTTTTGGTTTTACATACCCAGAATGCTCTGCACTGTTACTACTTTTGGAGCGGTCTCCAGCCCGCTTGGCATTCGAACTGCACCGCAGTTCACTTCAACAGCCCAAAAAGTCAAACCCTGGCATGAACATGTCCACTAATCTCTTATCTACCTTAGTGAGAATAGGAACAACCATGAAATTCCTAAATATTTCAATCCTAATTATGGAACGATTTCCAAAGATTTTTCATCAGAACATTACATTCAAAGCGGTCAAATAAGAAGAAACTCTGCCTTCAACAGGTCTCATTTTAAAGCACAGGGTTCTGGAGTTATCGGCATGCTTGGAATGCACCCAGATATTGACAAATCTGACACCAAGGCGGCCCGATTTGAACCCTGTGAGCCGCTCTGATAAGGAGGTAAACTTTGAGCCGCAGTTATTGTTCAGGTCTGGAATGAATTAATATTTGAGCAGCCCAGCACAGCGGCTTAGCCGAGGCGAGTCGGCCTGCGAGAGATGCCTATCGTCTGCCTGAAACGCTTCGCTGGCCTTACAGGGCGACGTATCTGTGGTGTTTTTGGACGTGAGAGTGTTTGTATTACCCGGCCCATTTCTCGTAGCTTGGTGAGCATGACCACGATGGTGGAGTTGTGCTCCCACAGCATCCTCCAGAAATCCTCGGTGGTCTCACTCAGGGGTCCCTGTGTGGCGATGTAGGCTTTCTGCTGTCTGAAGGTGAAAATACACAGAGAGGGAAAAACCAATAAACTTTACAGGGAATCAATATCAACTTTACGGCACTTTTACAACAGACATTATGAAGCATATTACAAAGCAATAACTACAGGAACAACTTTAAGAGAGCTGCTGTAAAAAGGTTAGCAAATGCTAACCGCACTGTCCTCCACTTTGCCACAGTTGGGTCATCTGACTGGAAACGTTTTACAATTCTTTAAATTTTAAACTTAATAAATGAAATCCAAGGATTCTCTTCAAAAAAAGGGAAATAGTCCTTTATCTTTACATACAGACATCTGCATCATTAGTCAGCCACAGAATTTTCTTATAGCCAAATTAAAAAATAAACTGTTCAACCTGCGTGTAAGATAACAATATTTCATTAGTCAAACTACTTAATGAATGCATCACATATGTATAAAAATGGGTTAATCATAATTTTTCAATGTGGATCTAACTTCATTTGAGATCTAGAGCATCAAAATATAAATTGAGTTTGATTGTGGCCTATTAAACCATGATATTGATTGGGAAGAACACATCAGTCGCAGAAAATATTTAAAACACACATATTTAAATATGTTTATATTTAATTATGTAGTGAACATCAAAAGTTGTAGCTGCTGCTTTTATATTCTTAAGTCTATAATGTTATCCTAAACCTGTAGGGCTACTGAAGTATTTCCTTTACTTATAGAACCACCACTTTTAGATCAAAACATTCAATCAGTCTTGTTGTGGAGCAACATAAGCCCCGCTCACTGGCTTACATATGAATCTGTATTTAGTTTTTGTTGAACTGCAATACATTTGGCCAGTTGGATGGACTCTTGCTGCCCTTTATCTCCAAAGAAATTTCCGAAACCAAGATATAGAAGCTGCAAGAAAAGAGCGGAGATATAAATACGATGAGGATAAATCCAAGAATGAGAAAGATAAGCATCTGTTCATTCTTTGAATGCAAAGGTCTGTAGAACTTATCCCGACAAAGATTTTTCTTGTTCATAATACACATAGTAAATAATTCATGGTCACTCTCCTCTGTGAGCAATTCTAGCTTGTATAGATCGCGCCGTCTCTCTCTCTTTCCCTCTTTGTAACCCAATCCTGTATTAGGGAGGGAGGGCACTCGATATGCTCACCAAACTGGAGATGAGCTCATCCTCTGAGATGCCATAGCAGTGCTGCTGTCCTACGTGACTTTGCTCAGCCTGAGCAGTTCTCCTGTTGACCAGCAGGTGGCAGCAGTGTTCTTATCACCAGCCAGGAGAAAGCCAGTGCAGAAGTGCATGCATAATTGCACGCAGACACACTTGCACATGTTTGCCGCACATGTAAACCTGCATTCAGGTGTAGGTATTTATCAGAGCAGCAGCTCTGCATGTGTATTCAGATGTGCTGCTGCCACCGAAGCACGCACTTACACACACACACACACCCTGAGCCGTGGCTGAACAGCTAATGAAGGTGCTGCAGGCGAGGCACTAATATGGGACCGGGAGATTAGAATATGCTCAGGGCCTCGCTCGTACAAATACAGAGAGAACAGAGAGGAGAGGATACAGGAAGAGACGGAATCAAATTAAAATTAGGGGGGAAAAAAAGATCTGCAAAGCACAGAGAGGAGAAGGAGGCAGAGGGAGCTGGAGGAGCGAGCAGTGCTCTTCCCAGTGGGCCGTCATAGTGCAATGTAGGTCTGAGAGCTGAAGATGGGAGGAAATTACCCCTTCCTAACTGTCACAACAGGTCACTTTGTTGCCTATGCAACAAGGAGAAATATTTCATTTTACCCCTTTTTGTAGGGAAATCTGTGTAGAGCAATCAGACCCACAATATGATTTTGCAAAAGCTGAGAAGAAAGGACATGACAAAACAAACTAATTGAAAGCAGTTCTAGAAGGGGTCCAAGTCCCCATTATGAAGTCTAACCCCATCCACGCCTCACCAGGCGCACCTCCCTTTGTTTCTCCCCCTCAGGTCGACTTACTAGATCATTGACCAAAAAAACTTTGAAAGAAATGAGCTTTTACCTGATGGCAACTTAATGTTGGTCTAAAAAGAGCCTTTTTCAAAATCAGTGCAGTTTCAATAGCTGTGGTGTTCCAGCCAGAGGAATTTGATAGAACATAAGGAGGCTGGGGATGGTCAGGGTCAGAGTTCTTACTGATAGGACGGACTTCTTTCACCTCCTCACAAAATGTCCCCCAGTCAAAACTGAAGCAATTCCAATATCATCCAACAATCCTGACGTCTGTGCAGGCAGTGTCCCGATGAGCCCCCTCCGCCTGCAGCGCTTCAGGACATGCTGTTTCATTTCAACCTCATTGCAATGCTAAAACTCCAGCCTGCATCAGAGCATATCCAAGGCTAGCGCCCTCTGTAGCAGAGCTGGAATCAATGGTTCGCCTCTCATTAGCTTAGTATATTATTGGCTTTTCTTGAAGGCGCCAGGGTGAAGGGCACTAGAGGCCTCTGTTTAGTTTTTATTCATGCCCGCATTTTAAAAGCGGCTTAATTACACAGTGCTGCTGGTGCACACAACAGGTCCCTGCCCGGATGTCTGTCTCTGCCATGATGTTGGGAAGGGAAATTAGGAAGGGAGAGTAGGAGGATGCATTGGAGACGGAAAGAGAGAATAAGGAAGAAATAAAAAGGAAAAGGGAATATGAAGAAAAGCAGGAGAAGGGAAGAAACACTTCAATACAACACTCCTGCTTCAGTTACACTATTTACACAGCAACAAAGGAGGGTGGGCCTCTGCAGAGCACCTTCTTATTAGCAGCAGAAAGAAGAAGGGGAGTTGGGAGGTGGAAAGCGGAGGTGTCATCTCTGTCATGGCCCAATACGAAGCAGAACCCCATATGGATTAAATGGCATTTCACGCTCACTAAATCCATCCCTTCACTTAAACCACAGAAGAGCCAGCTCTGTCTGTCACTCCCCGCACTTATAGAGATATAAAACAGAGTGCTGCCTTTTCATCTTCTTCCCTCTAGGAAGCAATTTGGACTCACAGAGCACACAGGGACACGCACCATGGCGGCGGCTCAGCGGACGAAAAGCCACATCGACAGGGCTGGGAATGACTCTTGCAGCTGGATGCTGCCCGCTGCCGCTTTAATCCGCTCACATACGGCTTTATCTGTCACCTTAGACAATCATTCACACCAGAAACAGGCACGGTGCAAGCAGAGTTGGGTCTGGATGCTTTTAAGACATTGGTTTTCAAATTAAGAGGTAAAGGTCATCCCTCTGAAATTACAATGATGGGATGTTTAGAGCAGGGGAATTTTCAGAGTTTTTCAGGATCCTCTGTTCTTCAGTTTACAATATGAAATACCAAACTTTTCCAAGAGGAAAGGAAGGACGGTAGGACAAAAGGAAGGACAAATAAAAGGGAGAAAAACAAGTGGAAAAGATGGAGAGTGAGGAGGGACTCATGCAAGAAAGACACAAGAAGTAATAAATGGAAACAAGGAAGGAAAAAAGAAAGGACACATTTTGGTTTTGAATAAGAACCGAAGGTCAGGAGATTGTTTCGGTTTTGAACTCTCATTCTAAAACCAGACCTGGAAAATTCCAGACATTTCCCGACTGCATTAAACCCTCGTTTCATCCTCCTCAGATGATGTAAAACCCTGCAGTTTTTCCAGGCTGAGTCTAATTGGAAAGGTTAACATAAATCTGCCTGTAACAGCGCTTCCAACCTCTGGTCATATTTCAGAACAGTGACATGTCTGCCTTGCAAAAATTTTGCAAATTACTCTAGTCCTCAACAGGCAGAGAGGATTCAGAAGGAAAATCAAGTCCAACATTACATCCTGTCTGATCACCATCATCAAGAAATGCAACTCTGCTGTGAAGATGAGTTTGATCAATGTCTAAATCCTGTTTGGGATTGTCAAAGGAAGCTGTTTCAGCCAGACTGACTCCTGTCAGACATTCCTCAGCACCCTTATCTTAACTTTAAAAACAAAAACCACTTAAAGGAAGGAGCCACAAACTTCACAGTTGACATTTCATCCCTTTGACTGAGGTATGCAGGATGAAGGTAGCCATTCATTTTGTTATGAGAGGGAAAAGTGTGAGCGATAGTTTCTGATAGAGGCGCCAACAAAGCTTTGGAGATGATTCATGCCTCTGAATCATCTGGTTTTGTAGATACGAGGGGAGAAAGTATTTAGTTGCAAGCTCTAATCAGTCAGCGTCTGCCTGAAGTTTATGACTCAACAGAAACTTCTTTCCTTTTGAGGTCTGAAAAGCATCAATCATCAGTTTCTTGTTACTGAAACAGGCTTTGAACTCATAAAAAGTGAGTCTGTTGTTATTTTTTGGCTTCTTGTTTGTGCAACAGAATGAAATTATTGCCACAAAACCTCAAACCAGTTTCAAGAGCAACTATGCTCAGCCTGCAGCTCGGTTTGAGCCGGTCCCTGATGTTAAACCCTGAAACCTGCTGAATGTTTCCACGGGGTCTCTGCATGTTTCCCCAACTCAAATTTAAGACTTCCATAATCCACCTCGCCTCGTACGGGTTGGCAACTGGAGCGTGTCAGTGGCAAAAACTAACATCACTCAGCCAACTGATGATAAATTTACACTTACCCAGGATAGATGCAAAAAAGCTAGCTAGCTTACAAGGATAAATTAGCAGCAAGTTACCAGTAGTCTCAACCGTCTCGAGTCAAAGAAGAAAATGACTATGCCTGACTAAAACATTTCCTTGACAGAAAAGTCCTAGATATAGCTTACAAGAATATATGAAAGTAAGTGGTCCTGCCTTGACAAAAAGCCATTTTTAATCTTTGCTGACCTGTAGCCATCAATGAAGCTGGCGTTGATGTAGTCGGAGCCCTCAACACCACGGATGGGCTGCAGGCAGACACGGGTGGACTCAAAAGGCATGATGTTGACCAGCCGGTTCTTGAACTTGTTGCAGGGCAAGTTGGCGCTGATGAAGCGTGATGTGTGGGCTTTGGAGTTGGCCAGTCTCTGTTCGATGAAACATAGGAGAGAGGGAAAATGTCAGACAGGGAAACGAATGAAATGAAGAAGACAAACAAAAACATTTGAAACATTTTCTGACAGGTGAAAAGCAAACTAATCAGCCCACTTAAATCCGCTCTAATCTAAAACAAGTTTGATTACCTAAAAAGTCTGGTTCTTTTGGGTAGATGTGAATGTGTAATCGAACTCTGATGCATAGCAGAAAAGTGATCACTGGTTTGGCTACACACATACGTCTCTGTCCGATTGAAGTGAATTCTGGTCTGGTTCAAATGCATATGTGAATGCCAAGTAGAACGGAGAACACGCCAAAAGCAGGAAGTGGTCACCAAGCACGGGACACTCTGGGCAAGCACACCCAAAGCAAATGCAAGAGTCTAAGGCTAGTTTTTACAAAAGACAAAAAAGAATTCCGACAACCACTAAAATTTGACACCACTCCATTTTTGCCTACATTTTGCAAAGGAGGAAGTTGTGTTTATGTCTTCTTTGTTTTTTGTTTCCTTCTGTGGTTCTTGATGCAGCGCCACCACAGGTGAGAGGGTGAACAAGTTTTTCAAAGGGTCTTGTTCGTTTCACACAGTGCAGCATGAAAGCAGACTGCAGTAATTGAAAATGTAACAATTGTTGAAATTTTGGTTCCCAGTCAAACAAAGTCTTCTGGGCTGACCCTAACCCCATCCACAGCACACACATCTGATGTGTGTGCTGTGGATATCGACAGGAAGTGTGGCCGACTTATCTTCCCATTTAGTCCCAGTTTTCTTGCCGGACTATAGGCGTCATAAGCACGGTGCTGGCAGTGGACACAGAGCAGATGGACGGCACAGGAGAGTGTATGGACTGTCATGCTACTGCAGGGGACGGAGTGTATTGTGGCCAGACTGGGTGGGGGATGCTTGCCGTATCCCCACATGTACGCCACAATCATCCTCTCACTCTTTCATTTTAGTTTGTTGGCAGGAGTGTAGATGCTATTATCACTTCAAACAGAATGGATCATGGTCGTAAGAGGGCTAATGGCAGGGACGCACTGCGAGGAAAGTGTGTAATAACATCAGAGTCGATGGCTATTGACAAAAAGGGTATGTGCGCCGTGTTACGGCGACCTTGAGGACCAGCAGGGGTGTATATGCGCGAGTGTCAGTCATTTTGTAATCGTCACCGAGTCGATGTGTTCACAAGTGTTTTGTTCTGGCTTATTTAATCCTAAAAGATGTGCTGAAGACGCACCTGAAGTCTCAGCCCCAATGTCACTGAGATTCCTGAGCATCGGCTCATTTGGTGCATCGTGGAGACTTGCAAAAGTATTTACACCCTTATGAATCACAGATCTTATTTTATTATGAGATGTTTTACAAACTAAACTCTGCTTACTCCTGATACCCCCAAATAAATTCCAGACAGGTAAATCTAGCCTTCAACAGGTTTTCTTCTGGGATCGAGTTGAATTTAACTTTATTCATGATCTTTCCTGTCTCTACTGAAGGAAAACAACTCCACAACATGATATGCCCTCTGTGACATTTTCAACTGGTGCGGTTCACCTTCACACTGCACTCTGTCAAATGAACCAATGAAATATAAACAAAACTGGAGAGACGTGAGATTGTGGCTTGTCTTTGGCAAATTACCTCGAGCCATTTCTCTGGACTGCACCAGACTCGCGCATTTATTTTGGTTGTACTTACCCAGAATGCCCTGTGCTACAGTCCACTTCCTGCTTTTGGAGCAGTCTCCAGTCTGCTTGGCATTCACTATGCTTGTCCTCCTAAAACCTTAGGTTTTTAAGTCTGCATCACATCTCCCCAAGCGAACCGCACTTTCTAGACAAATGAACTAGAACTCAATTAAAACGCACTAAACTGGTGTAAATGCACCCTATATTATACACAGGTCTGTAATCCAATCACCATTGAGGTGACTTATGTTTTATTTAGGATTAAAATTGTACTCTTTTTCTCCCAGTGCACAATTACCCACCACTTTGTTTTTTGACTGGCACACAGAAACTTATTAAAATAGACCGAACTTCTCAAATTTGATCCCATTACAGCATCTTCAAATGGGAATGAATACTTTTACAAGGCACTTTAAATGCAGTAGCAGGAGAAAATGTGTGTATGCATATTTTAAACACCTTGAACTCCAACTCCATGGCGGTGACCGTCTCCCCGGACGGCGGCTGGGTGAGCTTCTGGATGTGGGCGTACAGATTGCGCGCCGGCACCTCCGTGTTGCCGCAGGTGGCGGCCTCCAGGAGGGACTCGTGGATGAAGATGTACTGGTCCTCGGTCTGGACCATGTAGTTCCTCTGGGCACGCATGCACGTCACATGGCCGTAGATGTCCACGGTCTTCTCGTGCTTCATGCGCTCCAACATGGCGTCGATCACGATGAAGCAGCCGGTCCTGCCAACGCCCGCACTGCCGGAGGGAGACAGAGGGTGGCAATTAATGCCATTTTCACTGAAGCTACATAGTCATTACAATGTGGTAGAAAGAGCTGTTCAACTCAATGAATAGAAAAGTACCAGATACACTTATAATCCTGATGTGGGGATGAATTTCCCAAGTATAATAGTTTTTTTCAATGCTTTGACACTGGATATTGAAGACAGACTGAAAGGTTACGGTTTGTAAATGTAACATTTCCAACTTGGCCTCTCCTCCCCTTCCCTGTTGAGTAATGCTGTTGTCAATGTCTATTGGAAGTGGGATGTCTGCGCTTGAAATTAGGTCATTTTTCACCTCTTTTTTTGGAAACCTCACAGAAGTTAACAGCAACAACGGCTCATTTTCTCTGTGTTCTTTTGCTCCTCTTACTCTGGAAAATCAGATATCCAGCAAAGCCAATAATGCCAAATGACAGCACATTTTACCAGCGTGCATCATTTCAGAGGATCTAAATGGAGCAAATGCAAAAACATGCACACCTTCTGGATAGTGGTGCACAGCTCTGTTCCTGTTCGCATTCACAAACAAGTATAAATGGACCTTTACATCAAGCTGGCTGCAACATGCATGCAGCAAAACAAAGTTGAGGCCAGTTAGGCCAGTTGTGTGTGTTTTTTTTAATCGCACCATATTTAGAGACATATTTAATAGTTTCAGGATTTTGGTGCTTTATTTCACAACTTTAAATGTGAAAAAAAAAATGATGCAATTATATTTGCAACCACAAACTGGATTTTATTTTTGATGAGCAGCGTAGAGGGGAATGAATGCAACTTAATGACGCACTTTCAGATGATGATGGCAGCATCATGCTGTATGAATGTTTTTTTTCTTATTTTTTAAGTCTGCAAATTATTCTCAAAATCCCAGTAACCATAGCCCTTTTACACACTGCTTAAAGTTGGTATGTCACATGAAAATGTGCCTGTAAATGACATTAAAGTTTGTAGTTGTAGTGTGACAAACTTTGAAAAAGCTTAAGGGATGTGACTATATTAGCAAGGCACTGTATCAAGACGTAAACTCATTACAATAGCACTGTTGATCAAAGAAAAAGCAATACTTTTTATCACAATACTAATGGTTGTTTATTGAACATTTTTTAGGCAATGCATATTTTACAAAAAAAAAAATACATTATCATCGCTGCTTTATTAGTGTAATCTTTAATATGCAGTGTCTTGCAGACGGATTTCTACCCTTTGAAGTTTTTCATATTTTGTCATGTTAGAACCAACAACTGGATTTTATTTGGTGGCATCAGAGTAAACAGGGCTGAACACAAACGGACACCACACTTCTTTCCAGACGTGGAACCAATCATCACCCACCTGCAGTGAACCACCATGGGCCCGGCGTCTGGAGGATTGCAGGCCTTTACTCGCCGTAGGAAGGCCAGGATGGGTGTGGGATACTCGGGCACGCCGTGGTCAGGCCAGGCCATGAACTGGAACTGCCTCACCTCTCTCTTCTCGCTGGAGCCGTTCTGTGGAAGAACCGAGGTGGCCGGGATTAGACACTGTGGATATCAATTGGCTCCTTTATGAGTTTTCATGATGAGAAGCATTTCTTTTAGCATGAAAAAGGTCACGCTGCTTCCTTAAAAGGAGCTGTACAGTTGAGATTTGAAAAGCACAAGTTGGCCCGATTTCATGTCTTTTTTCTCACATCCTATGAAATTACCCAGCATTGTTGCTTGCCATTAACTTTGTCTCTTTCCTGTAGGTTGATTTATTTATTTCTTCCTCTATGTTTCTGCAGCTATTCTGGCCTCAGACCTCTCATGCATGTTACTGTCCCAGCCAACTTCATGTCTTGTTTACGTTTTGTTGGGGACGGGGGTTCAACAAATTATGCTCTGGACTGACTCAAAAGCAAAGTTCACACATTTTCCTACACTGAAATTTAACCACTTGTCAAGAATATTCAAGATAAGTTTTCAAACTTTTTCAGAACCACAGAGATAAAGAAGACGGTTTCAATTCACAATTATATAATACCATTTATTACTGCTAATATTTTGTGATAGTATTCTACATTCAAAAGCAGAGTCAAAGTAAACTGACGTACAATAACGTTTTATTTTTAGAAATATTGGTCTGAGAAAGTTTCAAAAACCTAATTTAAAAAGTGTTATTGCTAAGTTTTCTAGAATTTAGCAAATGCAAATCGTTTTGAAAATTCTCACTGAACTAAAACAAGATAAATTTGATCTGATTTAACTTCAGACAGTGAGAAAATAATATCTTTAAATATCTGGTTCCAACTACAAACGCTTTCCAAATTTAAGCTGCACTTTATTACCAAACTGTCCAGTTTGCACATCACACACTCTCAGCGGCTTCATGCAGAAATCGAGCACTGATTTAAATCCAATAAAAAGCCCCACACATTTCCTACAGTTTTCCATATAACATGAGACAAATTAAATGTTTTAATGCTCAAAATGATTAACAGTTTGTAGAAAACACTAAATGCCCCAGCCTTCAAAATGTGAGGCAAGAAACATGCAGATTATGCAGGTTTTTACCTTGTAGAGGGCAAAGGTTCGGACGCTGTAAGTTGCCAGCTCCACAGTGTCCAGCATCGTGACCTGGATCATCCCGTACGTCTCTGTTCCTCGTGACGGCCAGTACTGGTCACACTTCACCTGGCAGGAGCAAGAGAGAGAGAGAGAAAGGGCTGCTCACATCCGATACAAGGCGAGACAGAGGCTGTGTGGGATCATGCTGATTAACAAGGAGGAAACATTAAAGAGGTCACATCAAAGGCCCTGTCCACTGTCTAATTAAAAGCTGAAAACTCTGAGTCTGCTCCTGTATCACAGAAACAACGTACGCCAGTGAAACAGGCTTTTACACACGCACTCATGTGTGTCTCCATTTGAAGCGGGGTTTCAGACGATCCACTTTGTCTCTAACTGGCCTCTGATCATTTTTAATCAGCTAATTGTCCGGTGGTTTGCAGGCCTTTGTCGTGTGTGCTTTAGGGTGGATTTCTGATGGCTGGATTGAATGAAGCCTAAATGCCTGGTTCTGCCTGAAATGAAGGGGCAGCACTTGGATTTGTAGTTCACCCCTTGATCAAACACAATCCTGAAAGGATTTATTCTGATTTCATGTCAAAATATTACGTAATTTTAATACATTTAAATTTATTTACCCAAAATTAAAAAAATGGCCAACATTTTCACTTCTGTGTATTGTATACTTTTTTCCAGTGGAACTTTTCTGCCCAGCAAAAGTTCAAGTTGCACATAAACATCTTCATTGGACAATGTGAGTCTTAAGTGGATGAGGCTACTTGTAACTAGTTGCTAATGCTAGCTAACTGGCTAGCTTTTTTGTGTCCACCATGAGTAAGTGCAAAATGGCTGGTTAGCCGGAAGACTTCTGTACATTTCTGTGGATATTAAAAAGTCTTGCATTTGAATTGGTGAAACCTGCAGAATCCCTCTAACACCACTAAATTAAATCACGTGTAACCAATTGCCTTCAGAGATCACCTATTTAATAGACTTTGTGTCTAATTCAAACCAGAGGAAAGGACTGTCGTTTTCAAGGCACCAGCGTCCACATGGGACTGTTTCCAGAAATGATTTCATCCACATGGAAAACTGAAAACCTGTTAAGTGGTGCTAAACATGGAGCATGGGACATGGGCAAAAAGCCTCCACATGACGTAAGCGGTAAACACAAGAATAGTGAACAACTAACCATGAGTGGAGTCCTTTATGGAACTTTTAATGAGGTTCTATACTCTCTTCTGACTGCAGCCGCAACCTGTATTTTATTTAGGAGCATCGGGGCAGAGAGGATTCAAAAGCACTGTACTTTTTGGATCTATAGTTGTGGCTCAGGAATAGAGCAGGAACACCAAATATGGAGGCTGTAAATGAGTCTGCTGGGACCATTAGCTGCTCTTTCTGCCCCCTCTCCAGTTGGGCCACTGTAAATAAAGGCCACTGCTTCCACTGGCCAATTATCCTCCACTTTCTGTTGGTCTACCACATAAAATCCCATCAAAGTTCAAAGGGTGTGAATACTTTTTAAGGGCAACACACGAGCAGAAGTGGACCTTTGATTTGTCTTTCTGCTTTAGGAAGAAGATGGCAGGATTAGAGCACAGATTGACGGCTGCTGTGATCTTCACCTTGACATGAACATGACCTCTTCCTCCTCAGATTAATGAACCGCATTACCGCATGTCAGAGGAATGTTGCAACGGTTTTCAAAAGGCAATGATAAGGCATCTTATGACTCAAAGCAGTGCATGGATCTGCACAATCAATTTCCGGTTAGGTTTTATGGCCACTAACATCAATCCACCAATCCAGTTCACCAAAGAGATGAGCCACATCATTATCTCAGCATTTGAAGTTGTTTGATTGGTGTCGCCGCTCAGGATGTCTTCAAGACAAAACCATTCCTTGTTTATCCTGCCAGTATTTGCTCATTTCCACTGCAAATAAGATAATTGGCATTGAAATAGTCTGCCAATGGAACCGGCATTTTTCATCAATTTTAAGGGATTATTGACTTAAAATAAGCTCTTAGCTGAAAAGTTTATTATAATTTAGCTTTGTCTTATTCCAGGTGTACTAAGGTGTTTCCACGATGTTTCGTGTTTTTGCAGCACAAGCAGCAGTCACAATTCCCGGCGTTCACAGCGCTCTGGACGAGTAGCTACGAAAACAGGAAACACTTGTAAATGTGTTAGAATAAGGAGTCGTTATAAACAGCTGCAGGAACAAAACAAAACACACAAAAAAAAACAAAACAAATAAATCAGAAAGCTTTTAATGCCACAACTGCAGGGACTAGACCGTAGAAGGCATTGATTGGGACGCGGTGCGAGGAAAGGGATGTGCCGCGGGGTGAACTAATCGTATTGACGCTACAGAGCTGAGCTGACATTTGGAGGCACTTTGGCTGCCTCGGCGAGCTGCTACAAATTGACAAACAAAATGTGCTAAAATTCTTCTGCTCACATTTCACCTCCCCTGGAGACAGCTCCCATTCAGAGGCGGAGGCGGCGCTTGCAGGAGAGAAACTCAATTGAGTGATGGGGAACTGCTTGCACCGCAAACATGGATTGGCAGTCACCTCTGTAATGAATATCTCTGTGCTGTCTGAGGTTCGGTGGCATGTACTCGCTCATACTGACACACACAGGCTGCACCATCCTCTACCTTCGCTTTGAACTCTTCTTCTCTGCCTTTTGCAGAAGCTGCAGACCTTTGATCTGCACACTCACACACACACACACACAGTGGCTTGTACCTCTGGTCTGATTTCAACCCCTGACCTTTTAAAGTTTTACGCTCTTGTAATGACGGTGAAAGAGGAAGCCAAAATCTGCCTGCTGTCAGATCGCATCGTATTTGTTCAGCTCCAGCAGTATTTGGCATAAAGCATTAAGTCTTGCTGGTCGCAGGAGGGTTGACTCATTTGCTCACAGTATGCGTCCGAGGGCATTTTTTGCACAGAGAAGTGAGCAAACTATGAGTAATTTATGGAAAGGAAGTTGAAAAATAAACATCTCCTCTAGTAGCTGTGCAAACAACTTTTTGTTAACATTGTGAAGTCAAATAATGGATGATACTGAACTTTTTATGTTTATTTCCACCCTTAAAATAATATTTTTTTAAAGAACTTCACTCTGAAAAATGTAAAAAAAAAAAAATCCAACCTTTCTTTAATTTTAATCAGGTGATCAAGAGATCTTTAATTAGTAATCTATGCTTTTCTTTTTTATGGGGCATGAAACGGATCTTTAAACTTGACTGCAAAGACTAACAGCTCGTCTGAACACATCTGCATTCAGAGTGATAAAATGTTCAAAATGGGAAAGAAAAGAGAATGTCTGTAAATTACGAGAAAAATATCTACTCATCTGAAATAGATCATATTTACCATGAGGAGAATTACTAAAAAAGACCAAAACCATTGTGAAAACACCAGAAGAGACATAAGATACAACAAAAATGAATAGATCTAAGAATGCAGCTGCATGTCTCGTGAAATTATAGTTTAATTTTATTAGCTACTTTCCGAACTGTGTTTATTTGCGATTTGATTTGTTAAGATGGTTCCACTTATTAAGTAATGTTTTCTGTGCCGATGCAATTTAATCAGCCTAATCGGCTGTTGGCACAGTGTTGGCGGTCTCACTCTGGAAAGTCTTTAAGGCTCGCAACAAACATTTAATTGTTATTTCACTAAACATTTTCTCTTCATTAGAGTGACTGCTTTAATTGAGATTCATAGGCACAGCTGTTTACAGAGTAACATGATCTAAATAATGTATTAAAAAGCTGAACAATATGGCTTTTTGTAACATCTGTTTGAAACTGGGATTTGCCGCAGTCGTGTATTTTAGAAAGAATCTGATGACTATTTTCAAAATGTGAGACTTTTAGTTTATGTTTGATGTAGAAAAATCATTTCTATCCTTATTTTGTGACTGAAACAGTTTAGATTTTTGTCTTTCTCATAGCACAGATACATTTTTTAATATTTAGATATTTCCTTCCTGTAGAAGTGGTATAATTCAATAAATAGTACATATGTAGGAATTTAAATGTATTAAAGAAATATGTTTGCAACTATTTAAATATGTCCTTCAAATGAATGTGAAGGTAGGTTACATTTTGAGATTAAAAAAAAAAATATATATATATATATATATATATATATATATATATATATATAGTAGTTAGATAACACATGATTAAGACAAATTTTAATAAATTATTCTTGTACTTATTTTTTATATTCTAATGTTGATTTATTTGTTGGATTCATTTTTATTCTTGTGAAATTTTAACATCTAGAAATATTTTAAGTTATTTGTGTATTTAATTGTGGCGTATTTTGACTTTAATACGGCACAGAACAATAAATTAATTCAATAAAATAAATGCAAACATACAACGAATTCTAATTCTATCTATTTTGATAATGTATTTAATATACCATTTAAAAATGTAGAGAATTATTGATATAATAGTGTTTATTTTATATATGTCCTTTCAGCTTTACTTGTAATATAAATATATTTGTTTGACATGTAATCCAAGTATTGCATTGTGGGAGATTTGGACCCAAATAGCCAGAGAAGATGATAAAACTCATTTGGTTTAGTTGTTTTGGAGCAGAAACATCTAAAGTATGCAGAACTTGTCTCATGATTGTTTTAAATTTGACTAAAGAGAGACAGTCTGTCTGAAAATTGCTTTTCAGACAGACTTCATATATAGAAAGGCATTAGTGAATCCGCCTGTGTGTTCGCCATGAAACCAATGTGTAATAAAAATCTTCTAATCAAACACATCCGCCCTGAAGATATCCTCCGAGGTCCAAAAAAATGAGCTCTGCTCCGCGGAGCTGGAGTGTGATTGTAATTTACCTAAATGATTGATTGCACTTATAGCGCTGAATTAAAACAGATGATGGATTTTTTTTTAGGAGGATGGGAAACAATTTAGGTATCTACTTTGGCAAAACAATTACTTTCCTGTAGCCTCTGTCTAGACGAGGAGGAGACGAACTCCAGGTGATGATACTCTCCTGGAAACCCACATATAGGGTTTTTCAAAATGAGCTTTTTTCATTTACATTTTCTGTTGCTTGCAGTTTTATTTCTACTCTGAGGACTCCTTCATTAGGGGGCTGTGCACACACTAATAAAGCACCACATACTGGCAGGACTTCACGCTGTCTGTTTCTCCCCCATGGAATTGGTGAGCATTATTTTCCAATGGTAATTAAATAAAGCCGTTCCGGTTTGAAATCTCAAGTTGTCATGCGCTCATTTGTTTTTTGCTTTTATTAGGCGGGGATGTGTTTAACGCTGTGGGGCCACAATCCTCTTTATAAGCTTCAACTTTAGAAATCTGATTAGAGCTCTTCGACTTTGGAGGACCGAATTCAGAAAGAGCAACACAAACGAGACTCTGCGACGCCTTCGGTGTAGCGTTACAAAAATAAGCAGGCGGCAATCGAGAGTCGAACTCCTGGAGCCGTTTCTAAATAACAACGTAGCTGGTGCTATAATGAAAGTCTAAAAATAACCACAATGTACTTGTGCGCGCTGTAATTTGGCTCAAAATGTGCTTCCGTTCAGTAGCGGGTGTTGCTTTCGTGTGCAGAGTTGCATCTCTACCTTCATAAGTGGCAAACAAACAAACAGGAGGGCGAATGGAGCAGCAGCAGTGCAGAGCTGCAGCTCAACATTTCTTCACATTCAGTGAGATTTTATACAGAAGACTGAGGAGCGACACCGACCAGACAAAGTGGACTTTGAAGTTCTGCTGACTTTGATCTGGTTGACAAATCCAGCCTTAAAGAGGGACTGGGTGTCTGTGTGTCTGCAAACTTTCTCAGGTGCAGAGCTGAGTTAGTGTATACCAATATGGCTGGAAAGCTTTCAGGTACTCTGGGGAAAAACTTGTTCTGTTGGGCTTTCCCTCTAGTCTCAATTCCAGATTTCATACAAACTTTCTGTATGAAGTTCAGACTTAAATTTCAAAAAGTCAAGGGAAGTTTTGTTTAAAGTGGACTGCAGTCTACCCCCCAGTTCAGTAATTGGACTCTTTTTCCCGCTAAATATTCAAAAGGAAATGCTATTTGGAAATCTGAAATACCTGGGCGCAATGCTACTTGACATAATATCGGCTAATGTTCACAATGCAACCAGTGCAGGTCGATTCAGTTTTTATTGGTGATGATTGGCTGTGGCTGGATTTTATTTAGGAATGTCAGAGTAAAGATGGCAGAACACTGTAAAAACACAAAATCACACCAAGTATACTGTGTTTAGTTTCTAGAGCAACTATTGCAGTAAATGAAACAAAACTGACTAACAAATAATTTTCCAGCAAGATATAAAATCTCATTTTAAGTTATTAATTCTTTAACCTTGCTAAAAATAAGTACTAGTTCCACTGGCAGATTATTCCACTCATAACACGACATTTTTCCCATGCTACAACTGAAATAATAAGAACTCATACATCTTGGTGAAAAGTTACTTCTAAGAGAGCTTTGCCTTATTTCAAGTGTACTAAGATATTTGGTCTAGAAATTAAACTAAAAATACTTGGTGAGATTTTGTATTTTTGCATTGTAGGGATCTGCTTTCTTGTTGGAATACAAAAATGTGACCTAAACTACTTGATAATGTGAACCGGTGAGCATTTTGTCATTGATTTAAATGGGTAAAATCAAACCTCTGACCAGTCAGTGCATAACTGAACAAGGAGGAAAGTGATGAATTGTTCTTCACAGCGGTTCTCCTTACCCTCGACTTCTCCTCCAGTCTGGTCATCATGACGATGGTGTTGGACCTCTGCTCCCACACCATTCTCCAGAAGTCGCTCAGCGTCTCCGGCAGAGGCCCCTGAGTGGCGATGTAGGCGTTCTGCTTCCTGTAGCCGTCGATGTAGTTGCCGTTGATGTAGTCGCTGCCTGGAACAGCTGCAGCAAAAACGGAAAAAGAGCCAATGTATCAAAAAAGTTATGAGAAATCAGACTGAAATGCCTCTTAACGCACGTGAAGTAGAGTCTAAATAAACAACCGCCTCGCTCAACAGCAACCGGTGAGGAGTTAAGTGCCTCCACGAGCTCTTACCATCCACAGAGGTGAGGACCACTCTGGAGTGGTCATAAGCGATGACGTTTGCATAGCGATTCTTTGGCTTGTTCACTTCCATGTTGGAGTTCTCCCAGGTAAACTGCTGGCCCGGATCGATGGACTGAGCGAGGACAGGAGAAAGAGGAGCAGAAAGCAAACAGCAGGGAGACAGAGATAGAATGATGATGAGAAAGAGACGGAGAGGTGGGGAGGGGGGCAGAAGCACAAAAGGATACTTGAGTTTTACGTCGGCAGAGAAATGGAGGGAAAATTGCTCTGCTGTCGCTCAGCTAGCAGAGGTGAGCTCCGGACTGCAAAAACCTTTTTACCAGAAAATACTGTTTACCCATCGCATGTCTCTGAAGATTCATCATCTAGCTGGAAAAACCGACATAATGCCGCTCGTCCTGCAGCTGCTGCTCCTGGATTATCAGGTTAAAGGCTTGCTTGACATTTGATGTATTGATGCATGTTAATGAAGAGAAACCTCCATTTGTGTTGATTTAAATCGGCTCCAAAAAGGCCATCACCAACAGCCTGATATCTAACAATTTCATTGCTTCTTCTCGTCTAATCTTTCTATTTCTGTTGCCTTTCATGTATTGTTGTTCTGCCCGTTCTCCCGTTCCAAGCAATTTTCTCCTTGCGTCATTTGACTCCTGCAGAAGAGGGACGATGGACTGCATACTTATTGATCCTGGGGAGATATGTGATGGCCTCCCATCCCTTGTTGGATAATGTCACAATGTCTCTCGCTATGCAGCATCGATCCCAACTCTTCCTCCTCACACCACAACCTTGTCTGGTGTTTCTACAGCAAATCCCGCAGCAGCAGCTACAACAGCTTTGAATGACGCAGGAGTAAAATATTGCAAAAATCATATGCTATGCATGCTGGGAGAACAGGTGAACTCGATGTAAAAAGACCCCAGTTTGATCACATTACCCTCAGAGGTGCATATCTTTGAATTATAATACCATTGAAAGGCTCGTTTGTTCAGTATTTCAATACAAAAAAGTAAAACTCGTATCATTTGGAGTCATTCCACTCAGAGTGATATATTTCAAGAACTTTTCCCTCTTTATTGTGGCTTCTAAAACACTAAAACTCACATTGCCAGAAAGTTATGATGTTATATAAGTGGAATAAAATGGGTTTTTAACACTTAATAGTTATGTTATGATCATGTTCTGGTCTAAAGATCATGATGAAGACTGAGGACATGACAGGTCCAGCGCACAGTTGCTGAAACCCTTTAGACGGACGATAAGCCACAAAAGAATTGCTAAAGAAGCTGGCTGCGTGCCGAGAGCGATATATTCAAACATATTCATGGAAAGTTGAGTGGAAGGAAAAACGTGCACAAAAGGTGCACAAGCAATGGGAATATCGGCTTTTCTTTCCATTCAACTTTCCATCAGTTTGAAGACATACAACACTCCAGCCAGCGGTAGTGAACTGAAATGACTCAAACTAAATCTGTGTAATATATAAATGTTTCTTTTTAAATTGAGGGAACATTTTCTGACTGATTTTTTTTTTTTAAAGATGAACCAGCACTTTCAGCTATTTTACAAATCAAAGGTGGTCAGCTTCTCTCTGTTGACGTTTGCATTAAAATTGCAGCAACATGCCCTGAAAACGGCTTCATCCCTTCTGAAGTCAACATCTACGTCACCATATAAAATGTGAGGAGTTCGTACGCTACAAATCCTTCGTCACATCTACAAATTACTCAGCCGTGTGAGTGGTGGGGGTCGAGACCCGTTGCTGCTGATGAGCTCAGCATTGGCAATTTCCGTGCCTCTGCTCAGCGCCGTGAAGAAAAAGATTTCATTTGCTGTCAAAATGTGTCATACTCATTTGAGAGCTTGTTGGAGACAGCCGGGCACATAAGAGAGGTTGACAACTAGCAAACAAGTTGGGTAGAAAAGGTGAGGAGCAGATGCCGAAGGTGCTCCCAGTAAAAAACTGAAAATACTTTTAAAGGAATGTAATGATGGCTCTATGACGACTGCGGCGTGAAGTTGCTCCTGGCAATCTAAAAGAGACTGTCTGGGGACTTGCACCATGCCTGATTGACAAATTCTGCTCATTACCCGGCGTGTTCATTGCTCAGCGTGTTGCGGACTGGAGTCGGCACCGCAGAAACCAAGTGTCAGGCTGCCTAAAGTGTCGGGGGAGAGGAAGTGGCGAAGCCTCTACAAATTTTGCGCCTTAGGGTATGGCTCGATGGGAGCAGCCGGCGAACGTGACTGTGACAAAGCGCCAGAGTTCTGCCACGGCGCCTCGGCTGGCGCGGAGACGAAGGGCCATCTGCCGGGCCACGGCGGGGGTCTTCCCCTTTTGCAGGGACGGGAAGAGAACCGGGCTGATTGCCTGCACTCGTTCAGGCTCCTTTCTGTGGTTAGGTTCATTTAAACGAACTCGACGGGCCGGGAGGGCGACGGCCTGGAGAGGCAACGCATAAACCCGGTTAATTGAGTGCAGAGGTTTACCGCGGCCTAATAACCTCTCTAGCTGGCTGTTAATTTCACACCAGATCACAAGAATGAAAGGAAAAGAAGGGGGGAGAGTATACATTAGAATTAAAAATTCACGTGGTCTAAATAAACTTTGCATAGTTTGTCCCACATTATACACATTAAACCGATTAGGGTTTGGTGTATACTTTGGTTTATTTCATATTATTGGATGTTTTTCTTGTTAAGTGCTTTGAGATGACTGTTTACTGTTAATTGGCGCTACAGAAACAAAATGAATTTCCACTGGAATTCAATTTTAGAGTTTTTGCATTAAACAATATCCGTTTTAGTAATGTGTGCTGCAAATCCCTTGCTTTGAAATGATTGTTTATCGCTTTCACTGCTGTCAATACCTTGTACAACCAGGTCTGAATTTGTGGTCTCCTCTTTTCAGCACAAGATAAAAGTTTTCTATGGGTTTTAGAACTGGACACCAGGATGGCGCCGGATTTTGTGAACCATTTCAAAACCATTATCATCGTGATAAAAGCCTAAATAATGACCGACAGCCAGTTTTCTGAATGGAAATTAGCTTAAATTACATTTATTTAAAAACAAAACAAAACAGGGACTTAGTTGGATATTTTTGCCCAATGAGTAAATTAGATTATATTATTGTCAGACTTTATATTAAAGTTTGAATTTTGCATAATTTTGTGTTCTGCAATAAAAGATGAATATATTTTAATTATTTTTACACAACTTGACCAGAGGAGCCAAACAAATTTGGCCGCATGTCCCGTTTTGGACGATAATTAGTCATTAGTTTTTTGCAATCCTGCTTGTGTGTTTAAGCACGGACAAGATTCTAAGTTACTGTTGGCACACAGCATATTTACAGTGATGCAAAAAAAAAAAAAACTATTTCTGCACACATTTAGGAAACCTTCAATGTTCAGCTGAACAAGTCAACCTAATTAGATTTGTTAGCTTCAACCGTAGCAACAGTTTTGAGCTCGTTTGGGCAACTTGACAAATTAATTTCTCATTTAATCTTTGTGACATGTTTAACAGCTTTATAGTACTGCTACTTTCTTTAGACCCAAAGGCAGGAAAAGTCTTTCTTGAAAGAGAACTGGGCCTTTGTGAGATGAAATGCTAGTCAACTAAAAAACAAAGTATGAATTTGTAAAAATACCTTTCAGCATTTTGTTGTAAGTTACAGAAAATATCTGTAGCATATTTGTAGCTTTTTGTAGCTGCGCGTGTGTTTTGAAATCAAAATGTGGTATTCAGTGTTCTCCTGGGTCAAAATAAACAAGAATTGTCACCCCATAATAATGTTTTTTTTTTTTAAGTAATATCTATCACTGACATTTATCATAACGATAAATACATTTTTTTTAATGAGAAATCCTGCATGGTAAATGATAAATGACATGATAAATGCCCATCCTAACGTGAAACGTGCAGCGATACCACTGAGTTTTTCGCCTCGTCCAAAGCATCTGCGGCTAACTGCCTTAGCTAGTGATCAGATTCTGTCTGCTTTATTTTTAAATGAGTATTACCAGTGTGACGAAGGTATGAGCACAAGTGTACTTAAATTCAAGTCTGGATTTTACCTATGTGTTTTAATTAGATTATGCTATAGCAAGAAAACAAAGTCACTCCAATAATACCAATTATTGTGGCCAATGCTGTTAATGTTATTCATGGAAATATTAGACTGCAGCACAACTTTTCTAGACTTAGAAACATCGGTCAAAAGCAGTGACATAGGGAAGAACGCGCTTCTAGATAAAAGCCAAGATCCACAACCTTTCCGACCGTCTTGTTGGAACCAACATTTAAGCTGCTCCGATTAGAGCAGACAGATCCAACAGTCGGAGCAAATGAATAAAAGACAAATTGTGTTTTTCTGTATTCAAGGATGCCTCTCTTCTTCATCTAGCCATGCTCAGAACCCCAAACCAACTATGTACCACTTTAAATGCAAATTTGCTCCCTCCCCCCCTCTTCTTCTTTTTATTCTTTCTGGTGAAGAAGAACACTGACAACAGATAATCCCTCACCGAGTTGCAGCAGAGAGACCTCCTGCACTCCTCCCCACCTCTCAGAAAAATCCCCATTCTTCTGGGAAGCGGCAAGACGAACACAGATTGCTTAAGCGACTTGCCACCTGCGAGGTTTGTGAAAAAGCAACTCGCAGCATTTAATGTAAGTGTTGGTTTCCTAGTGGGTTTGGTAATAGAGTTGTGAAAATGACTGAAGAACGTCTATGTAAGAAGTCTCCCATAACCCATTAAAATACATGCATGAGATCAAAAAGGGGGGAAAAAAAAAAAAGTTCTTCGCTGATCGTACAAGGAAACCCATTTATATACTTGAAAGAGGAGGAATCAGGAAAGCTTCGCTCTTACCTCATACTCCTGGGAGAAGCGCAGGCCGTCGTTGGCTTTAAGTCTCTCTATGTGGTCAGCCAGGTCAATGACAGGAATTGGTGGGTGTTCCCTCATTCCTGGAGGAAAGAGCAGAAAGAGAAAGAGTGAGAAATGGCATCCAACCTGCACAGAAACAGACGGTCAGACCGCCAGGTGAGTGAGGCTGCCGGTGGGACCATGAGGTGGTTGTGACGGTGAGGAGAGTGCAAGATCTTCAACAACGCATGAGGAGACAGGAAAACAGGCTGGTGACATTTTGGAGATGTCGTCATGCCAAACAAGGGGGACAAAAGTGGGACTGGCACGGCGATGCACATGAGTAGAGTGGGTGAGCATGCTTCTTGGAGGAAGCGTGAGACAGACATCTCTCCGGCCGGTGGTAGAGGTGGTGGTGGAGACGCAGCAGGAACTCAGAAGCCTCTACAGATCAGACACACCGTCACTCCGAACCATGAGAAGGGAAGAAACTGACTGGTCACCAGCCAAAACTCATTTCTTTGAAATCCCTTTCCCTACAAGGCTGTCTTTCGGCCCCGCCTGGAGCGCTTGTGCTGGATTAATTTCAAACAACACCCCTGCTGCTCTCTAGCTTCCTCATCGTTGGGTTATTGGATGATTTATTGCTAATCTACCGACACAAATTCATCCTGTGCTTCTGAACTTGGGGAGGCACTAAAAGGAACTCGCAGTTCAGGCCTGACATTTACATGCACTCATCTCCGGCATGGATATTAGCAAATTTTGGGCTTTTACTGACAAAATTTGGACAGCTCTTTTTCAGGATGACGATACAACTTTGATTAATTTTAATAAGAGAAATTGAACTTATGCCAGTGCTCAAATAAGAGAACAACCCAAACCTCACACGAACCGTTGTGGAACGAATACAGATGGATAAAATTAAATTAGAATGACTCTGAAAATCCTATTGAAAAGTTAACTCCACAAGTAACAATTCAAAGTAAAATTACATGCTTATGTACTTCCAAATTATAGAAAAACCTCAATAAATAAAAACTTGTTTTGCCTGTTCATTGAATATATTTGTGATATCATCCTTAAAAGAAGTAAAACCTTGGAATATATCAATGACCTTCAAGCTGATTGATGGTGTATGTAAACCTCTGACAGGCATTCTGTACATTATTTAAATGAATACAACACATGGACAACCTGTGAGGTTAAACCATGGATTATTGTTAACCTCACACAGTGCAGACACTTTAAAAGGGTCTTTAGCTGAGTGCATCAGTGAGGTCAAGGGTCAGGTTTTCAGGTGACAGACCTTTGCAAGCTTTTTATTGCATTAATGCTAATGGCTGATGGCCACTTTACCAGACGAGGCCCGACCCATTACGCAAATTTAATCTTATCTCACTGAGGGGCCACTGAGCGCATTACCATCAGTGTGTGCGTAGTTGTGTGCGTCTTTTACGGCTACGTTTTTGGTTGAACGGAGGGTGAAGCCATTGATAACAAGGCTAATGTACAACAAGTGCAACTGTCCGCCCTGCTCAACTATCCATGAAACCACGTAGGCCTCTGCTGCCGCATCATAAAGGTGATGTGGGAAAGTTCACAGCCAGTGGAAGGCCATTGGCGCATCCTTGGAGTGCCAGAGGCAACAAGCTTGTAAGCTTGTGATGTCTGTCAGGATTGCATCGGGGGAATGGGTTCAGGAGCGAGCGAGTGAAGAAGGAAAAAGACCGCATGTGTGGGAAGTATGCTGTAGGTGAGAAAACAGACTAACTTGGAGTGTTGGGGCAGCGATGAGTGCTGGGACCTGTTGAGAGAGGAGAGTCAAAGCAGGGAGGAAGAAGACGACTTGATCAATGGAGGCAGCTCAGGATCACACTCTGACCAGACTGGATCTGCACATAACCTTTGGAGTGAGTCAACTCCGAACAGCAGATGGTGATGACCCATCTCTGGGCAATTTAGCCAGCTGAATATAGAGCTCAACCTAAAGAAAGTCTCCTGTGACGGCAGTGAGAGAGTTAGTTGATGCCACCAGGTTTTATTAGCAAACAATGAGAGGCTAAAACTCTGGAGTTCAGTGAAACTACTGAATATTCTATGAGACGTATTTTCTATGGATATTGATCACGTGTCTATTGCAATAACGTTATTGATTTATTGTCCAGCCCCAGCTGCAGGTCTTTCTGAATGTGTCTCTACCAACTCTTAACATCCAGTTTGTCCGCTCAGACTTCATGGAGAAGAACCACAATTTCTGCTGGAAACAATTGATTTGATTAGGTTTGATCTTATTTTAAACCCACATAGCAGTCAGAAAAGAACATTCATATTGCATTTGAATAAAAATACAAACAGGTTCGAGTGTTTTCAGACTAATATTGAACATGAATACTGCAGCTGAAAACTGCAAAAAGGAGGCAAAAAATAATGAAAAGACAGGCTAATTTGCTTTATTATAAGACCTTGAAAACATCCTGAAAGGCGTTATTAAAAGAAAAGTCTTTGACTGAGATTTAACAGAAATTGCACCTTTTTGAAAAGACTCAGTGGGTTGTGTTTGTTCTTTTCCAAATTGTGGTAATAAAGCGTGGAACACTAACCAAAATGACATCTGCTTTGTGCAGAAAAGAGGTAATTTCATAAGCTGAAATTCACCCTCTCTGTTTCCCAACTCGCTGCCTCAATCCTCCTCATTTTGCAGCAACTCTAATTTTAAGTCTTCCAGCTAAAACCGCTGCTGATGACCAGTCCATGAACACAGGGACGATTTTTATTTCGACCAGAAAAACACATGATCTCACTGTTTTGTGCAAGGGTTTACTTCAGATATAATGATCAGGTCAAATTAAAAGTCATTATGAATCCTTTCAGTTGCATTTTGTTTTTGCTTTTGCAGAACAAAACAGATGTTCAGCAGATGCTTCATTTATTAACGTCCTCAATGGAAATTTGTGTCGATTAAAAATAATAGAATCCTCCTTTCTTTTCTTTATAGTGTCCCACCTCCCTACTTTGCATCCTTCTTTGTGGACTGCCTCTCCTTGTACCCTTTTTTGTGTCCTACATTCTTTCCTTACATTCTTCTTTTAGAATTACTTCTGTCCTTGTATCCTCATTTTTGGCCTACTATCCTCCCTTGCATCCTCCTTTGGGTCCTCTCTTACCTGCATCCTCTTTTGTGTCGTTCATCCCTCGCATCCTTCTGTATGTCCTTACATCCCTGCCTTGAATCTTTCTTTGTGTCCTTACTCCCTTACATCATTCTTTGTCTTCATACCTTTCCTTGCATCCTTCTTTTTGTCCTACATTCCTTCCTTGCATCCTTCTTTGTGCCCTACATTCCTTCCATGGATAATTTTTTGTGTCCTCCTCTTGTTGCATCCTTCTGTATGTCCTTACATCCCTTCCTCGCATCCTTCGTTGTCCCCTATTTCTCTGGTTGCATACTTTTTTGTGTCTTTCCTTTCTTCATGTCCTACATCCCTTCCTTGCCTCCTTCTTTGATCACTACCTTTGTTCTTGCATCCTTCTTTGTGTCCTTCATCCCTTCCTTGCAACCTTTTCTTTTATTGTGCCTTACGTCATTTTTCCCTTGCAACTCCCTTCCTTCCTATCGCTCTTCCTTTCTTTTCATTGTTTTATATTTTGTGAACATAAAAAACTCAGTTTTGGAAAGCTGGGTTGAAAAGCTTTGGTTTCTTTACATAAAAACTGTATTTGAAATCATTTTGTTAAACTTATTCTACTGTCCCTCTGCAAGATGTCTTTACATCCTTCATCAGGCTTTCAAAGGTAGAATCTGAACAAGGCTCGTCAATGATGAAGCAGGTCAGTACCTCCTGCTGCACCAAAAGGAGCAGGAGACATCTGCCAGAAATAAGCAACACCGATCCAACAACAATCAGAATCAGAGCGGGAATGTTCACCTGCTGGGGACGAATTAAAGGCAGGAAGAGAGAGAGAGGATGAAGGCTGAGGCTGTTCAATATTCATCCGGTTCCAAGTCTCATACGATTTCACCATCTAGATGCAGCCTCGGTGGTTTTTGATAATCACTACACTTGAAGCAACACATAGAGGCGGTGAGGGAGGAATAGAAGGAAATAAGTGTTGACGTATAGAGAGACTGAGAGGGGAGAGAAGGAGAGGAAAAGAAAAGAGATTACCCTACAGGGGGAAATGGAAGACAAAAGGCAAGAGGTGGAGTGGGAGGACGGCAGAACGGGGCTCTTTCAAAGTGGCGACACTGCTTAATTCCACTGCAGGGGTTCAAAGGGCTGTGTGTGTGTGTGTGTGTGTGTGTACGGCAAATGAGATCTTTAATAACCTGTGAGAAGGGACTACACACACACACACACACACACACACACACACACACACACACACAGTAAGAGACGCACGGTCAGACGCGTGCACCGGGGCTGACATTTTCCCTCAGCTCTATTGTTCCCTGGGCCCGGCTCACCTTGACATCAGAGGCAGCAGGACTCATTACCAGCTGGGGGGAGAGAGAGGAGGACGAGCGAGCACCAGGGGAGGAGGAGGAGGAGGAAGATCAGGAGGAAACAGGAGGAAGGCTGATGCTGCAGAAGTCTCCCCCACCTTCCTCCTCCATCCTCCACTTCACTGCTGCGTGCGTGTGTGGACAGAATCTGAATATCCTCAACCTGACTTGACTCAAACTGTCAGCTGGCCATGATAGCCACAAAAAATTAAGCTCAGCTTCACAAAGAATGAGCTTTCGTTTCTTTTCCCACCTGAATCAGTGAAAATAACAACCTAAAATAAGCAGGTCATGTCAAGGTCAAAAAAATTGTCAACAGATGAAGAAAAGATATAAGAATCCATTTTGCACGTAAAAAAAATAAGAAATTATATCGACATCGAGGAACAACAAGGAAGCTTTGTGTGCATCTTTTTCACAGCTTATGAAGGACTGGATGCAGCACACGGCAAAAATACAAAACCTTACCATGTATTTTTTTTACTAGTTTCTACTGCAAATATCTCAGTACACTTGAAATAAGACAAAGCTAACTTATAAGTAACTTTTGAGCAAGACATATAAGATATATATTCCTTACTGCTAATGAAAAAGTACTAGTTCAACTGGAAGATTATTTATCTTACAACATGTTATTAGTTAAAAAAAATCAACCAGTGGAACTAGTTTTTTTAATTAATATTAAATAATTATTTACTTACAACAAGCTCCTATATTGTTGCTGATGCTCTACTTTGTGTTGATGAAATCCCAATAAAGTTCACTGAAGTTTGTAGTTAAAATGTGACAAAATGTAGGAAAGTTTTATGCTATTAAAACTTTGGGTTTTACGAGTTCTGTGTAAAACCCAACCTAACTGAGTCGGGATTGTTGTGGAGTTATTAATCACCTGGGGTTTGGTAGTTGAGTCGTCTCATCTCTACGGGGTCGGAGGAGTTGCCCAGCAGCGAATCCTTCACGCCGCCCGAGTGCTCGTCTTTCGGTAAAGGTGACGACCGCTTTCTGCAGAAGCAAAAGGAGAAAACAAAGCGATGAATTCACCCAGTATTGTCTGTCATCGGTTTTGCAGGAAAACTCTTAAGCAGAAATGACAGGATGATTTAAAATGACATTAATAATTACTATATGCACACACTTTGACTCATTTGCACGCTTGACGAGGTTAATGGTGCATTTAATGGCTCTTGAAGATACTTCTAAGGACAGGAAACTCAAGAGACAGTGGGGGCCAGGGGTCTCATTCCCATTAGTTTGAAAGAAAACTTGAATTTAATGTGTTTGAAGAAGCACCATAATTTTGCTAGAGTGGGCTAGGTTGCGTTTGTTGCTGGATCTGTGACAGCTGCTGTGTGGAAACGTGAGTATGTGTTTGTAGAGATTTAAATGTGTGCTGCGGCGGCTGCTGCTGCTGCTGCTTGCATGTGTGTGTGTGTGTGTGTGTTCTAACAACACATTGTGTTTACTGGTTTCCCAGATTGAGAGGAAAACAGGCGGCTGCTGTAATTAGCTCATCAGCTGGGTGGCACAACACTGGATAATTAGACCAGTTTTGCAGCACCTGTGCTGCCAGGCCCGGCCACGCCGCATCCAGCAGAACAGAACAGCGCCGCTTGGACCGGCTTAACGCAGCCAACCATAGGTTCGTCCATCAGGCAGAGGAAAGTAACAGCAAACGCAGCCTTGCCTGTGTTCAGACACCCAGCATCTGTTGACGCGCAAACAGGCAAACAGATGCACACACGCTCACTCACACACATACAGCTGCAGACTCGCAAACCTCCTGACAGCAAATGGAAATGGGCAGAAAGCAGCATCAGGGCGCCCCGTGGAAATTTCACATCTCATTGCACTCCATTTGCAAGTGGCGAGCATGGTTTTAAGAAGGAGCGGGGGCCTTCTGTCGAGGCGCGTCGTGGCGAGAATACACAAAGTCTGCGATGCACAGGAAGCCTTAACCTGGTCCCCTCCTCCTTCGCCCCCCTCCACTCTGCTGCCGGGGCTCGGGCCTCACCGCCACCTGTTATCTCTTGCTGCAGGGGCTTAGGCTAATGCTGCAGGCATGACAGCTAATCTCTGACAAGCATCTCCTCCTTTCCAGCCGAGAGCTGAGCCAGATCGTGTCCAGTTTTACCCAGAGATCGCTGCTGGTGCCGCGCAGGGCTGAGGAAGCGGGGGAGGGCTGTGAGGATCTATGAGGTGTCCAAACTGTTTGGCAAGGGTGCCAAAAAATGTAAAGAATTTTTAATTATAATTGCAAAAGCTATTTTACTTTTTTGATGTTTACCTGGTGAATAAACAACAAACGAAACAGTATTTGTTGGAAATAAGCAAAGCACTTAGATTTCTGTAGACAATCTTTCAGGTTGAATATCTTTTTCTAGATGTGTCTTTTAAGCAACAAGAATAGGATTTTTGTCACTCTTGCTTTATGTTGTCAAGCTAATTAAACGTCTCCATTTCACTTAAAGCTCCTGCACGGTTTAAGTTGCCTTTACTAATGAATTGAAATTAAAAGCAAAAACCTGGACGAATACTTTGTGTTGCGCATTAAATTTTCTAATTTAAGATTCTAACTGTACCTTTTCATACAGGCTTGACATCAGGGAAAATTTCCTCATAACCTTGTTTTTAAACGTGTCTCTTCATTAACTGTCTGAACTGGCAAACCAAATTGAGGCTATTCTTGAACTGTGATCAAGGTCAGTCTACAGTTGACCCAGAGGTCAAACTCAAGGTCTGGGGCCAAATGAGGCCCACCGTAACTTCTTATGTGGCGATTGAGGCTACTGCTAATAAACCCTTGTTAGTTAGAAAAGGTATATTAGGAACTTTATTAACAAAAACCCTCAGTTCTGATTCCTGAAGTGGAAACGGAGGGAAGGGAAAAACTAGCTAGCTGGCTCAAAAAGTGAGCTAGCTTGCTTTTTTTTTTTGCATTTGTCATGTTTTAAGTGCAAATTTATGGTCAGTTGGCTGCACAATGTTCTCTTTTGCCACTGGATCATTTCTGTTGCCGTCCCATCCAGTGATGCATTCATTCTGTGTAAAAATGCTCGGCAGTGCAGATGTTAAAGATGTATCTTTTGTACATTCCTGTTTTGATAAAGGTCTTAAATTTCACTCATGATGGTCTTGGATTTAATTTTATTTTATATACATCTCTTCTATATAATGAAAAGCATAATAGGCCCTATTTTCTTTTTCCATTTTAAGGTTTAAGAATGCTGTAAATACAGTTAAACTTTTAACTTTAGCTTAATGAAAAAAACAACTTAAATAAATTAGTTATTCTGTTGTGGAATTTCTGCAGGATTTGCTAAAAACAGCAAAATTTCTAACACGAGCTTTTCTACCACCATTTATCCATATAAATACATATTATTTCTGTATAATTTTGGAGTTCAGGTTTGTACTTATAACGTGACAGAATGTGGAGACATGAACAGTTTTGCAGCCTCTGACCCAGTGATGCTTTGTTGCTGCTGTATGGTAAACATGTCAGAAAACCCACCTGGGGTTTTCCATCTCTGGCTCAAAATGAGAATGTGGACGAGTGAAAACACGAGTACGCAGAGCGTGAGGTACCGAGGAGTCTTAATGAGGGTAGAACCGGGCCCTTTGTTGAGACTCCTGCCACCAGGAAGCAGAGAGAAGCTAAAAAAAGGGCTAAAAGTGGAGGAAAAGTGTCTCAGTGAAAAATGTCAGCCTAAAAAATGAGGACGTTTTTTGAGCAGTCTACCCCCTCCAAAACCCCCACTTCCAATGTCTGGCATTTACTTCACAATGGGCCATTCAGCAGCAGGTGATGCCTTGGCATATTCAGATGGGGCCAATCTTGGAGGGGCACACTGTGACTTGCTGGATAATGAAACACAGCATGGAGACAAACCATGGCAGACAGGACAATCTGAGGAGGAACGCTGGCTCTAGATGTGGAACATGCACTGGTACATGGACGTGACCCGGGGGTTCCCTCAACCTCAGCTGTCAGGGGGTGTAGAGTTGGCTGCTTCGTCTTGCAAACCTCACCAAATTGGAGCAGATAACCACTTGATTTCGTTGTACTCCGGTTCTGTTTAAATGTCCTTTTTTGTGTGTGATTTCAGCAGCTAACTTTGCACCCCTCCTAGGCTCACGAAACAAATAAGAAGTAGTGGTGCATGAAGTTATGACACAACGCTGAGAGTACTCACCTTTCCTGCTTGCTGCATTCACAGGGGCAAGAAACAAAAGATAGAGGGGGAGCAGTTAATGTGTAATAGCTATTCATGAACTAAAAATATCAACAACTTGAAAGCACAAAGATAGAGAGAGGAGAAAAAAGAGAATAACAGTTGCAGGAGGCTTTAGAGAACAGGCTCATCACTGTTCACTGCTGGACTCTGCAGGAAGCAATAGCAACCAGAGCTACAGTGTGATTATTCTTATGCACATTTACCGCCAGTCCACAGTGAAAAGGCCACATACCCACCTCCCCACAGTCCCTGCTGTCAATCAGCATCTACACGGAGAAAGGGACTTCCACACAAGAGGATGTGCTACTCGGCAGCGAGCTGTCTCAAGGCCTATTATTAACCGGCGGCTCTTTAAGTCTGCCGGAGACAGCTGCTGCACAGGCTGCCGATGGCAGCTCGGGGAGGCAGGTATGATGCGAGACGCAGAATCCGTAATGGAGCTGCCAGGACGAAGAAGAACGAGGGACTTAATCAGCAGGAAGGGAAGGGAGGTAAATAAGGAGCTGCAGATTCAAACGGGATGTCCGCATGTCCAAATGTCAACATCACTATTTTAACTCCGTTTTTTATTATGTTAATATTAGGGCTGGGACAATTAATCGTGATCAATCAATTACCAAATAAATCGCTAGCTAATTTAGTAATTGATTAATTGTTAGCTGGAGCATAATGACTCTAAAAATAGACCATTTACTGAAAGAACAACAGACTAAGAGAATTAAACCAAAACTGTACAAGAAATATATACAAATTCTGTATGTGGAATAAAAAAATAAATAAAAAAAGATATGAGATCTGAGGATGCAGATGGATCCTTTGCTACAAATGGAATGTTTATTTTCTTATTTAAACATTTTATTGAATTATTAGTTTATTTGCATTTTTAAAGTATTGGAATTATTGTTTAAATATGTTTAAGCGAATAAATAAATGTGCAGAATTGCCTTAGATAAATATTACTCCCAAAAAGCTAAGAGTAATCTGACATCTGAACTCCATTTACTACTTATTTGGTTTTATTTAAAAGGTGTGTACTAAAAGAACCAAAATAGAAATGCACACCACACTTTTCAGATTTGTATTTGTTTCAAAATAGTAAAACCATCTTTGCCTTCCATATCACAGTAATGTCCCAGTTGGTGTGCGAAATAATTCAGATTGTAAAAACCTTTCCGCAACTCTTCCTGGACTGCAAAGATAAAATTTTTTGCTTTTGCTGAAAAGTTGATTTGTTAGATTTGTCTTATTTTAAATTTTATTACAGTCAGGCCTCAGCTCCCCTCCTTCTGCACATTTGAGTTTGCCGTTGCACCTCAACACTTCCATATGCGCTCATATATTCAAGCATTTGCATTACTCCACTGATACTGACATCCACAATCCATTGCTGTTTTTGTTGATGAATATTCCTTTTTATGCCCTTTAACCAATGCATGGTTTCCTGTTTTGTTACGAATTTGAGCCAGTCGGAAAAGTATTCTCAGATATTTGCACTAGAAACTAACTGAAAATACTTAAAAATCACATGTCAATACATGAACGACTGAAAAGGCGCAATTAGAGCTCAAGAAGAAGAACAGAAACAGTGAGAGGAGCCCGATTCTCCACGGCACCTGTTTCTAATCATGGTGCTCTACACAGGGGCAGCTCAAGCGCTTTAAAGAGATATTGACTGAGCTTTTAGCTAAGCCCTCTGCTGCTGCAGTCTGTTTCTTTTTCTGAAGTGACCAATGGTGTTGCCAAAACACATTTTTCACTCCCACCCTAAGCGCGTTTGACAGCCAGGCTGCGATTTTATTAAAGCAGGTATGTCAGCTGCCAGTTCGTCTGACACTTAACACGGCATCGTTGACAACAGCCAAGTGGGCCGAAATCTCTTTGTCTGAGACACAAATCAATCTCGTCTCTCTCTCTCTCTCTCTCTCTCTCGATGTTGAATTCTACAGTCTGAGAAATTGGACCTTATTGTTTTGTTTGTGAGCAGTTCAAGCATTTTTTATTTTTATTTTTTATGACCATTACCAATGAATCCAACAGAAACCTTTAATCATCGACTTTGCTTCTGTTTCACCTAAAGAAAAGCGCAGGAGTGGAAGCCAAAGGCGACTTACTTTTTAAACAAAAGGATGGCGATGACGATGATGATGATGACGACCACCGCCAGCACGGGGCCCATGACCCACAACATCTCAGGCTGATCCCCGACTTGGGTCAACTGCTTTGGGATCTGGACGGGGTCAGAGTAGGGGCTGGACGAAAAGGTCATCTGTCGGGAGAAAAACAAACAGTGTTTACTTCAGTGCCCACCACAGAAAACTGAAGATTAATGAACAACTACCTTTTATCAGGGCAGATGGTCTTATTAATACAGATTCCTTCTCAATTAATTATCAATGTGTGATATTATACTGCATGGATCCATTAAATACAGATTAGAAAGGATTTTTAATTATTTAAGTTATTTTTCTTCTACACTTTTTCCTTCCACCCAACTTTAAATTCTGTTAACATTCAACTTCTCAGCAGTGAACCTTTGTCGCTTCCCCTCGTTTAGCAACTGTGAAGTCAGCAGTCTTTCTCATATTTGTTTCTTTTATTGGCCTCTATGTAGAGCTGAACAATATATTGAATCACAAAATCAATATGCTTAGAATTGAAACTCAAAGGCTGCTGCGATGCAATAGTTGACATTTTCTGCATTCTCTCTGAGCCTCTGATCACGTATCTGGTGAATTGGTGGACCGTCTACATTTCAGCGATAAAGATGCTAAAGTTCACAAAAAGGGCAAAATGCAACATTAATATTGCATTTTATTTTTTTCACAATTATTAAAGTGGCTCTGATTTTATATAATACTCAGATTTGCTACTTCAGATTTCCTTTCTTAACAAATAGCTCTGCATACAGTAAGTACTTAATAAAATTAAATAACATTGAATAGCTACACAGATCAATCTTTAAAGGATTTTGTGATTTGTGGTGCAAATTTAGAAATATTTGCAAGGACTTTTGCTACATTTCCGCTGAGATAAGATGATAAATGTGACTCCCTCACTGTATCGATGACGGACTTTGACTTTACATCAAGTAAGGCTTAGGCAGCAGAGTAGTAGACGTGAGAAATACTCCAGTGGGAGTTACCATCACTTAAATCTGATGTTTTTGATCATTTTTGTGCATCATTTGATGTAAAACTCACAATTATGGATCAGCGCAAAAAAGCTATGGGGGATCTCTTGATTTGGTTGTTCCGGATTGATTGATGCAATTTGGCGTCTGGAGTCTAGACGGTCACACAAAAAGCTATGGCGGGCCAAATTTGGCCCTTGAGCCTCGAGTTTGACACGTGGTTTAGATGAAATCTACATGGCACTTCTTCTTGTGAACAAACCAACTGGATTCATTTCATTTCTTTTTATAAAAGCATTTCTGTTTGAACAAATCGAGATGCTGGATGACAGGAGAAGGGGCTTGAGGGGAAAGACAGAGGTGGGGATGAGCGCACGTCCCTTGGTTCGCTGAGATAAATGGGGGCACAGACGAGGACTCATCTCTTCTTCATTAGTGATCACACCGTGACGGAGACAGAGGAGGAGGAGGAGAAGGAGGAGGAAGGTGACGGTGAGGGTGCGTTTCCACCTTGCTTGTAAATGAGACATCTTTCCACTTAACGTCTCCAAATTACGGCGTGGGGGAGGGCGAGCGGGGAGGCATGTAGGTGTGTGTGAGAGAGTGTTTCTGAGGGAGCGCGAGCAGACAAAGCGATGCAGTGTTTAGAGGAGGGGAAAAAACCAGAAGAGTGACAAAGAGAGAGAATAACTGAGAAAAACAAGCTGACAGACGAGAAAGAAGGAGGCGTATGTCGTTAGAGCTCAGCGTGCCACCTATTGAGTGTTCCTGGGATGTGCAGGTGGAGGGAGAAGGGGGTGACAGATCGCAGACCTCAGAGGGAATTGGGCTCCCAGCGTGAGCGGCAGGGCAGCAGGCAGCGGTAATCCGCATCATTAGCCGCGCAGCAGCCCGCTCTTTGGCACACAGGCAGATATTAATTGGAAAGATAAGCTGAGATGAGCTCAAACAGTCCTGCGCCTCTGTCATATAGTTCTGTTATCTCTCTTACTCTTGGGCAACTGCCGGAAAAATTCACATTATGTGTGCGCACGCGCTGCAGCATGTCTCAGTCGCGCGCCGATGTTCGGCACACGCGCGAAATAGCTCAAGCAGGAAAGTGAAAAGATTTTCATAAAAACGGCGTAGGAGCGCACGGCAACATCTTTCATTTAGTCGTTTCTCACAAACACTCCGGCTCCGAGCGCCAGTGGGAGGAACCCATTATCTAAAGGCGAGGGGAGAACGGAGCCGCTGCGGGACGCCGCCTGTGTGACGACACCTCCGGGCTTCCTGTTGTATGGGGATGGCCCAGAAAGAGGCTTAAGGACACAGCCCTGCAGGGAATCCTGGGAAAATATTCCCCTTTTTTGCTGCAGTAACAAATAACTGCAGCTGTGGCTTCAGACAGGAGCAGAACAAAAAGAGAGGGCTTTTTGTCTGTTGGTCACGGCCGTGAAGTGGGATCATCCATTTGAACAGGCCTAATATCTGATAAAAGCTCAGTCACGCAGCTGAAAACGCTCCTGGCCTCTCTGAGCATCACAAAGACTGGATGAGGCTGTGAAGGAATGGCTGGCGGTGAGCGACGTCAGGTTGTCTCTCACAGCTCAGATTAGATGCGTAAATCTGTCTGCAGTCGGACAACACAGAGTTCAGGGTTTATTCACTAGCTGCATTTCCTCTGAGCATTAAATTGCACAGTTAAACATTTTTAAAACAAACTTGTTTAATGGAAAAATGCATTTCTTGATTAAGAAAATAAATAAATAAGAATAGTCAGCTCTAGGATGAGGTGGTTTTTCAGCCTTACAGAATAAATGTATTTTTTTAAAACTGCAATGGAAACATCTTTTTTTTTTTCACGAGTCACGTGATCAACAACCGGACGTTACTCCTGGTGAAAACGATGAAGAAGATAACAGGAAGTAGTTATCTTCTGGTTTGTTTTTCTTTGTTTTCAGCGTGCAGCTGGCTCCACCGGAGCTCTCAAGGTTCATAAAAGGTTTTGTGTCATTCAAACGTGTTGACTCCATGGCTCTTCTGTAAAATGGCTGAATACGCTGACATGGCAGATAGGTGATGAGCGCTAGCACAACGGCTGAATTATAAATGCAAAGGTAAGCATCGAGACGATACATGGATGGATAAGGCCTCACTTTTTGAATCCCAGTTGCCATTCCCAATCACATATTTGGAATTCATGGGAATTACAAACGTACTCGCCTCTCCATTGAAGCTTTTCACGCCTCTTCAATGGAGAAATTGATTGACCCAGAAACCTTGAACAGGGATTTGTCCCATATTGTAGCGTTATCAAAACCCTATCTGGTGATCCAGAGTCTCCAGCTGTCAATAAGCTTTGTTTGAGTACTTAGCAGCTCCAGTGTAAGAAGTAGCAGTAATTTATTTCACTTTGTTAGTCACATTTAATCCCTTTTTCACATTATATGCTTCTCAGAAGTCGTTTTCAGCTAATTTAACTCAAGTGCTTACTCTATAAGCCTAAAAGTGATTAGAGTTGCTCCTAGACTGATGTTATGAGACAAAATTGAGAACGAAAATGAGATATTGGATAAAGATTTAATACGTTTCTGCTAAATCCTACGGCAGGAGGAGCAGCCAGTAGAAAGCATGGATGCTTTAGTCTCTGGAAGGAGTATTTGGTTATTTGTGTGCATCTGTTAGAGTGAGGGTATGTGTAACATCAGTTTTTCAAAGCCTTTTTTCTAACTCCTTTGAGCCTCTACAAGTGAGCGTGTTTGTCTAGGTCGCAGCCGCAGAGAGTGAGAGCGCGTGTGATTTCCGAGTGTTTGTTTAAGGCACAGCGAGTGAACAGGAAAGAGGGATGAGAGACGGCACGGAAAAACGAGACACACACAGCGGTGTCATGGTAGCTAGCTTGGCCCATGGGCTGCGCGCCGTCCTCCTCTGCCACCCCAGACCCTTTGAAGAAGAGTTATGTATGGAAGAAGATTAGGAGTATGTCACTTAAGACATGCTTGTCCCAAAAATGTGAGCTTTAAGACTAGATTTGCCTGATGGTGCATTTTTTGATTATGAGAAAAAAAGTCAAAATCTTGAGATCTAATTCTGTCAATCAATGTCAAAATCCAAATAAATAAACAAATATTCTCAGGTGTGTGAAACATAATCAAATAACTCTTTCTTCCTTGTTATATCGGAGTTTTTTTACCTGATGGGACAAACCATTAAAACAATTCTCAGAATCAAAAAGACTAATTATGAGAAGAGTCAGAATTTTGTGGGAAAAAAGTAAGAAATTAGAGATAAATCAGAATTCTTTGTTAAAAGTCTGAATCTTTTCTTTCTTTTCCAGTGGCCCCAATCCTCTTCCGTAGATCTGCTGCACACAGCATGTGCACATTTGTTGCGACTTGCTGTTGACCCCCCTCGCTCCCTTTCCTCCCATAAAATGGCTTAAATAAGCTGCAGGGCAAGCGCCAGACAGGACAAACAAACAAACATGCACAGACGCCTGCTATGTATCCACAGCTCCCGCCGCCATCCCAGGGGTCCTGAGGAGCCCACACAGTCCCTTCACACTGCATGACAAAGTGGAAGACATGGAGAGGGCGGGCAACAAGATATTGGTGACAAAAAGTAGGAGAAATAAGAGATATCTGTCTTTATCTGTGAGAAGCAGAAATGTGGCTACAGGGTACCGTCTACCCTTTGTCTTGTTCTGCAGTTTCTCTTTTGTGCTTTTTTCCTTCATTCGGTTTTGTCCTTGCATGTCCCGCCAGTCATTCAGCAGCAGAAAGGGCACTTCTTTCTTGCTCTTGAGCTGTCTGAATGCCATGCCTTCATTTCAAACACAGTTATAAGCAGAGTTTGGAATAAATCCCCTGAAATCCCAAAATATGGGGTGGAAAATGCCGAATTACATCTAATAGTCATATAAAAACCCACAAAAGACATTCTGTGTGGCCTAAGTGCGCCGTGGAAAGTCACTTAAGAAATATGGCATCATAATTTCCATGAGTACTGTGTTTTACACTCATTTTACATATAAAATACTGAAGATCACAAATTAGCTTAAGGCAGATATTTCTGCAATGGACAGATTTGAAATATTTAAATTGAAAAAGAGAAGGAAGAATGTAAATTAAATAAGGCAGGAGATTCAACTAGACTGCAGAAAGGATGAATACATGGAAGAAAGTGTGAGAAAGGACCAAATAGATTTAGGACACAAAGAACAGTAAAAGAGTGGGAGGACACATCAAAAATATAATGGTGGTGAAACACAAAGGGCAGAAAGAAACAGCAGTGGGACAAAAGGATGGAAGGAAAGAAAGAAGCAGAGACAACTTTTAGTCATCAGGAAAGGGACTTGGGTCTTTTCCAAACTCTTTTTTTCTTTTTCCAGACTTAGTTAAAGTCTAGAAATAAAACCAACTGAAACTGTGGTCTTGCTATTCATCTTTTTCTGCCTCTAAATTCCAATAAAAAACTCTGAATGAGTCTCTGCAACCCTTTACAACAAGAAGATCAATGTTTCCCTCTTCAACCATCAGGGGCTTCGACTTTCAGCCTGATTGGTGTCTATAAAAGTAAAATGCATTGGATGCCACTTTGGTGATTTTTCTCTAGTTATGCTTTTCATCAGTTTGTCCTTTATGTATAAACTAAAGCATCAATGAATAAAAAGCATTCAGATAACTGGAGGCACCGCCTCTAGGAAAAGATACCCGCTAGATAAACAATGCGAGCTGCCACCCTCAAAAACCTGCATCTAAACTAGAGATGCACCCAATGATTATTTTAGTTATCAACTCTATAGATTATTCTGACATTGGATTAATTGGATGAACAAAGGGCCACTTTCTGAAGATTTTCAGATAAATACCAAAGCTTTAATGCAAATAAACCAAATTAAATTCCCTTTTTAATTAAGAAAATGAACATTTTGTTGCCTAAAATACAACAACATAGCATTCCTTTACTGTATGCTTGATCATCTTTAGCAAAGGAAACATCTGCAGCTAAAACAATGATTCTAACATCAACTTGACATCAGTACAGTGCAAGGCTGATCTGTTGATTGTTTTTTGGGTTAACCAATTAATAGCTGGACCACAAATATTGATATTTCCTTCGTCCCTTCCACTCTATAATTGTTTTTAACTTAGTTCCATAATCGATAAAACACAATTAATATGAATAATTGTTTCAGCCGCATTCAAAAACAAAAGACCCACAAAAAGCATCTTGTTTTCATAATCCCCTCTTGATACTGTTCGTTTGAGCCTTTTAAATTTTAAAAGCAGCTTGTCTTCAATGTTTGGGGTGTTTGGAGTTTGAAGCAACAGAATTAGCGCTACAAAGCAAACTCTCCATGAGAGTGAGGAGAATACAAATGCTTGGATAAAACTCCAAAGAGCAAATCTGATCGCTCGGTTTGGGTTCTTCTCTCTGCCAAAACCTGACTTTTCTCTTATCACGAGGGCAGCACGCGGTGGAACAATCACCTCCTCTGCTGTCGGTTCGCTCCGTCTCATCGGAGCTTCACAGGTTGGACTGGACACAAGGCAGAAATGGGGGAAAACATCTCATCCTCTTTTTTGCTCTCCAGCACCACCCCTCCTCTCTGCCTCAGATCACACAGTGTTTCATTCTCCTTCCTGCCTCAGTCTCTTTTCGCATTAAATGATACTGTTTATACACACCCAGCATCTATCATCTTATTTCACACTTCCCCCGGCTTGTTTATCCGCCTTTGGTGCTGGGGAGACATGAAGGCGTATTCTCCTCTCCTTTCTTTCTCTCGCTCCCCCTCCGTTCTCAGACTCTCTTCAACCACTAGCAGCAGCTTGTGGCCATTGATATACGAGGGCTTATTAAACCCTGGCGGTCCCGTTTGATCCACACGAGGGGAGTTTGTGGAAGCCTAGTAAAGACACAAGTCATTTATTCCACTACTTGTTGTTTTGTTCTCCTGGGTCTGGTGAAGATCCTGCTCCAGGCAGCGTCTGTCTGCTGCACGCTTCACCTTCTTCTTCTTCTTCTACCCCCGCGCCTTTGGTAATAAAACATCTGCAAATGCCACGTGGGGGCCAACAAAAACAAACACCGCTGCGGCGTCTGACTGACAAGATTTGTGCTGCAATCAGTGACTGACTACACAAACAATGGATGCTCTGTAGTGGGCCTGTTATTTCAAAGCTACAGTGTATTGCACCAAAATCTGCATACTCTTTGTAATTGTTCATGTTTAGTGACATTACAAGTGCAAACTTCAATGTTTTTATTAGGATTTAATATGATAGACAAACACAAAGTAGTGCAACTGGAGATGGAAGTATGTTAACGTCAATCTCAAACAGTTCTGCCAATTGTTCTTTACAAAACAGCTCCAGCTCAGTAAGATTCGTGAAACTAACTTGGTCACATAAAATATCTATAAAATTTAAGAAAGTGTGTGGTTGAAATGTGTTAAAAATCCACTTTGCATTAGATGATATAACCAATTTCCCAGGATGGCAAGTTGTGAATAGCTGTTGGCAGATATTATACGTACAGTTTAAACTAAGAAATAATTAAATTTCATTCATAGGTTTTAATTGCAGTCATCCTTTCTGGCATATTTGGAGAACTTTAAGTATTTATTCAGCACTAGTTACAGCTCAATGCCCTAACAGACTGATAAAAGCAGAAAAAGGATCTTTTCCAAAATACTGTCAGAGATGAGCTTGTCTAACAGAGACCAGGAAATGTTAAGTTCATCTTTGGTGTCCAAAAACACAATACATGTATCAACAATATGTCATTTAGGAAATGACAACATGAAATAAGGGGTTGGCGATATGAACTTATAGTTTTGTCACAATGTGGTGAAATTGATAAAAACGATAATAAATTAGCTAGATCATCTTTTTTAAGTAACCGTATGGCTGTAAATGTATTCATACTGCCACAAAAACAAATACTGCTCTTGAAAAACATTTCTATTTAGGTTTCTTCAGAATACCAATTATTTAAAAATTATAATTTATATCACTGAGATGCACACCAGAACTGCATTTAATTATATTTTCAAATTGAATTATATTTATTGATGCTCCAGTTTGTATTTTTTCATGATTTTACTGAACAAACAGTGGAGAAAGTAGTAAAATTAACAATACGGACGGTTTTGGAGGTTAAATGTAATTTATTGTGATAACATTAAATTAATTTTTATGCTAAAAAATTTGTCACAATAAATGATAAAAGACACACTTAATGCTCACCACTACTTGTAATTTGCATTAGCTTTATTGCAAATTACTAATTGAACGACCCTGTGAGTGGAGCCCAATAAATCTAAGTGGTCCAGTTTAAAAGGTGAGTAACTTCCTGTCAGTTTGAGGAAAGAAAGCGTTTTTGAGCTCTTCTGATCCAACTTGCTGTGCTGTGCAGGTGTGGCGAGAGTCCTGTGCAACGATGGGATTTGAGGATTTTCTTTGAAGTCAGATATATCATAGCTGGCCAGGACTGCCTCCTTTGCACGTCCATGGCCTTCTCAGAGTGGAGGGATTACACGGGGGACGAGAGGGGCTTTAGGGACATGTAAAGCAGCGCTTCAAGGGAATCAGGCCTGCCTTATGGACTGTCTCGGCCCTGTGACCGGGTCCTCGTCTCCCTCTTAACTCCAACCGCACTAATCGATCTCTGGCGTCTTCACAGCGGAGAGCGGATGAGAAAAAGAGCTCAAAGGAGGGAGTGGAAGGAAAGAAAGAAAGAAATAGGTAAAAAGTCTGAGATTCAGTTTAAGACATGAAGAACTCCCTCTCTGGTCGTCGAGGGCCCAGCTGCTGAATATGCATGTCTGGGGTAGCAGAGGAGCCCAGAGCAATCGCAGACTCTCATTCCTCCTGCAGTGATGTTTAGCCCAGACCATCCCAGAGAGGCGGGCCTCCGTGTTAGCGCTGCTCGACAAGTGCACAGTGCCGCCACTTAGCAAGCCAAGAGGCCTGTATTAGCATTGCTAAGACATGTGGATGGGGCCCCCGCTGGCTGCAGGGAAGCCAAAGCAGGATCTCTGATGTCATCCCTTGTCCTGATAAGGGAGTTATCAGGACAAGCTGTAATGTCTCTTAGAGGCTGCTACAATAAAGGCTAAGTGGAGGGAAGAAAACAACCAACCACTTTGTCTGATCGCAGCTGTTTTCCAAACGCTAGAGGCTGAGAAGTGGTGAGAGTTTAATGTTGGGTGATAAACTTAACCTGAAATTAATTAACCTGGATGAGCAAGCAAAAAGAAAATGACAACTTACATTGAAAACAGTTTGTTGCTCATTTTAGACAGTGAAGAATAATGGCCACTTATCGAATTCGTCCAAAACTTGATAATGGTGATTACCAACGCCCCAACAAAAAAAGTTAATTTATCTACATACAAGGCGAAACATTTAGAGTAAACCATCATGACACTGTTGGAACAAGTAAGATAAAAGCTAAAAGATATAATAACACATCTATTATATATATCTACATGTGTATCGATCTACATATACTTTGTAAAATATTAAGCATCTTGCTCACCCCAGGATATTTGTACAGCTGCTAGGCTAATGTTAGCTTGCTTAGTTTCTGTTTTGATAGAACTTGTTGATAATTCAGCTCATAAGAGTGTGGGCAAAATTTATAGAAAGTTTTGTCCTCCTACTTCCATAAATAAAGTGCTTTGCTTTTCATATTATTACCAACCACAGCTATTGTAGCCAGAAATATGATATTAGATCGACAAACCACTCAGTCTGAGTCTGATTTATGGGAACTGCTGATGTAGAGAGTACAATGTGAGGTCCAACCATCTGCCCTGGTCCAAGTAGAGAAGAAGGATTTAACTTACATAATTAGCTGCGCCATCCGTCCCCTCGTTTCGCAGTACTGCAACAACAAACCACTGGAACTCCTGCATGTTAGTTAGGGGCTTGTTTTTGAAACCCATGTAGTCCTGGCCATCACCCAGTATAAAGGTTGGCGGCAGATGAGTCAGTTTGGCTGCAACATATGCCCCGGGGGACTCCACGTGGCGTCTGCGCCTCAGCATCGGACCTTCTCTGGACCTGAGCAGCTGGGGGAAGGAGGCAAAGTGGAAAGGTTAAGGTTTAAAATTAGCAACAGAGCCCAAGTGAGATGACCCCTGAGACCTGACAACCTGCCAAAGTACAGCATCCAGGCTGTAGGATCAGCTCAGGTTTACGTTATAGCAGAAACTAATGCAGGGTTTGTTAGCCCCGGCCCTCAGGGGTGCACTGTCCTGCAGGTGATTAACAGGTTCCTGCAGGACCTGACAGCATGCCGAAGAGGTAAATGCAATCATTTTAATCAGGTGTGATGGAGCAGCGACACATCTAAAAGATGAAAGACTGTGGCTCATCATTAAGAAACCCCAAACTAGTGAATCTGAGACAAATCAAAGCGTCTGAACTCCTGGAATATCAGAAAAACAAAGCCTTTGCATCGACAGTGTATGTCCAGGTTTGGCTGAGCTGCTCAGTAAAAGATAATGACTCCACAGTGCTAAAATGCCCTTTGCACGCTGGCACAACGGCAAACAATGCAGCCAAGCTACGAAGTGAGCAATTAGCACTTAGTGGAGCACACAATCTCAGCATGACTGCCAGCCTGGTTAATAAATGAGCGGGTGTGTACAGCACTGCGGCATTGTGTTTTTCAGCAGCATTTTGTTTCCTGTCACTGATGTCTCGTGTGCCGCTCCAGATGTAGCTTTATTAAATCATTATGTTGGAGGGAGGAGACAATGGCCTGCTCTGTGTTTAATGACTCAGGGAGTCCCATCTCTTTCCCTCTCTGTCTCCTCCATTATTCCTAAGGGGAGACCTTGAGCAATGGTGTTTCAGATCTCCAAGTTTACTTAAACCTCCTGTCATTATTATTCAGGCATGTAGGCCTAAACTCCCCCATGACTAAGTAGCATCATTATTCAACAACAAATAAATAAATTAGGCAATCATATAAAAGTTTATGAGAAGATGGGAAGATGTATAATGCAGAGTGTGTCTGCATTATGCACCTGTTGCTAAGCCTGTCACAATAGGCAAATTATTGGATGATGACGTAAAATAAGCTCAATAATTTCTGTTTTCATTTGTTTAGAGACCCAATAATTGATTTTTTTTATTTATGCTTTCAGTTGCAAGTAGATTTTTATTTTGGTTTTATTTATCATTTTCACTTTGAATATTTTAAGTGTCTTTCGGTTCCAATGTCGAGTGCTCTTCATAAATTAAAGTTTATTAGTATTTGAAAGGGTGAACTTATGTTGATATGTCATTACCAATAGATGAATTGAAAATGTCCTCAAAACAACATGATAGTTCATTGCAATAATTACTAGAACAATTTATAAATTTATTTGTTCTACTGCAGATTGCAGATTGTATTGGATGTTTTGGGTCTAAATCCTGATGAAATGACCCAATTGTTTTTAACCATGGGCCACAAGATGTTTACTTGAAATATTTACTTATAATATGTTCAAAAGCTTAGATTTTCATCTCAGAATGTACTGTCATAACAGAGGTAGACAGAAATTTGTAGGTATTGCTTGCAAAGGAATATAAGAGAGATCAAATTAAGCCCTGCATCACTTGCTACACATTAATACTATAATCTGAACGTGCAAATGGTTTTATTCGACAGATGGCTGCTGTTTGCAGACCTGGCATCCAATCAGGAGACTCCCCTCCTACCTGAGTGACTCAGAGTTTAATATCTCTTCCTCCCTGAGCTCAGGAGGGTAGAGATAATTGGCTACCACCGGCGACTCCCCTCCCAGTTGGAGCGGAAAATGCTATCGTTGACCCCTGTAACCTGGGAACATTAGCCAATCAGCCCCCTGCCTGGCACTCACCTCTTCCAGGTCCACCTCGTCTGGGTTCTTCCACCGATGAATCGATTGGGACTGTGGCACCACCACGATGTAAAACCATCTGATGAGGAATTTAAAAAAATAAAAATAAGACCTCAGTAAACAGAGCAAGACTCAGTCGACACATTTGGAGACTTGGAGATGCTTTTGTTGGAACGGCGCCACCGCACAAGTGAGTCCAACCAAGGTCGAACTCCAGCAGATTGGCGCTGCGTTCCCCAATTAATGGCTAAACGCTAAGAACATCTGCCACACGGACCGGAACAAACACCATTCAGTGGAGGGGAGCTTCCAGCTAATGGAGATCCCTGTAGGATTCCTGAGGTTAATAAGAGCAAATATGTGTTTCTGTGCTGCTGTTATGAAGACCCAGATGGATGGAAATGAAGGACATCATTGGGGAGGGTCAAACTGAGGAGGTTAGGTACCGACTCAATGAGCATACATGCAAGAGCACACAAAGCACTCATGTTTCTGTGTTTATATTTGCGTTGGCTCCATCTCGCTGTCAAGCCCCGACTGTTTTCTCTCGGCTCAAAGTTTTCTCTCCTCTGCGACATTTTGTAAAACGAGCTGCTGCTGCTGGCAACGAAAGCAGCTGCCTTTCCTCCTCCCACTCCTCTTCTCTGCTTCGCACCTGTGATTCAACAGTCACTCAAGTCTTGGAGTGGAAGAAGACGTGTATAACAAGGCGGCTCCTCACCAAAACAAGCTAACACACCCCTCTGCTACTCCATCCCCCCCATCGCCAACCCACTCCGTCCGTCAATCTGAGCTGGACCTGGCCCGGGCTTGACAGCACCGTAATCTTTACACCAATCAACTTGCCGCGTTCCTCTGACATGTCTGTATTTGTGAGTGTGTGTACATAAAGATAAAGGCTTTACCCGGCTCTTAGCAGCTCTTAACAATTTATGTCAAAAGAAAACAGCTCAGCCTGATGTTAAGTCTAAATTATCATCAGCTTTCTGAAAGTAAAAGCTGCGGTTTAAGAGTTGGATCAGTGCTTTGTTATCGATCAGATGCTGATATTTTTCCTGCAGCTCATCTTGAAAACTTCTTACTTTTCAGAGTAACCAACACAGACGAAAACTTTCTATTTTAATTTAGATTAAAATCCTTTTGAAATTCATTGTCAAAGTATCGACCCTTTATAAACACAACTTTTCTATTTCCTTTCTATAACCGCGTCTATCCAGTAGGTTTTGGTGGATCAAAATCAACTTTTAATTAATTTACTGAAATTGGCAAAAGCACTCTCAAAGAAAGACTGACCCAAATCTTGTTCTTACTGCTTAGAAATGAACTGGATGCATTTCTTTTAATAAGGCAAATGACCAAAACCCTTTTTAAGATTTGGATCTGCACAACCCTTCCTAATGGAAAATAAGTTGAGTGGAAGGAAAAATTGTGGTAGAAGATACATCATAAGTTCTGTATGACAGGCATATCATGCAGAAGATGATATGCACTATCATCATCTGGATTATGGCTGGAGTCGGTGCTTTGGGAATCGGATTATTTTCATGTTTGTGACAGCCTGAAGAGCCCAATTCCTTTTCATACCATACCAGGGTTCATTCACTTTTCCCACAGTAAAATTTACTTACTTTAAACTTACTTTTCAAGGTAAGTTTTCAAACTTTTCCAGTGCCACACTTTGGCAAAGATGAACTAAATTAGACAGTTGCAATTTACTATTACTTATAATTTATCACTATATCTTGTGATACTATTTGACATTCTACAGCAGGCACCAGGTAAACTAAAATATACAAAAAATGTTTACGTCCCATGAAATACTTTGTAGTAATTCTAACCGGCTTAAAACAAGAGAAGTTTAGTCACAATGTGAAAAAAAGCTGTTGGTCTTTCTATTAAGTGTATAAAAATATGTAGTTTCAAATGTAATGCTTTCCAAATTTAGGCTTTTCATCAAATGTTAGATTGCACTTTATTACAGAACTGTGCAGTTTGAATATCACACACATTCAAAGACTTTATACAGAAATCAAGCACTTTCAAAACCTTGAAAATGCCTCAGAAATTCAAGCATTTTCAAGGATTTCATGCATCTGTGCGAACCTGTAATGTATCAATATAGAGTTTACCTTTTTGAACCGAACTACTGAAATAAATCAACTTTATGATGTTATTTTAATTTATTCCGATGCACCTGTAGTTGATGTCTTTACAGCCAAAATGCTACAATTATTCTCCAGATCATTCTAGGGCGTCCGGCGGCATTTCCAGCCCAGAAGGGATGTAAAGTCCCTCAATGCCCTCCAGTGCTTTCTGGGTGAGCCTCAGGGTCTTCCCCCAGTGGGATGGAAAACCTCTGAATGGAGACATCATGCTCACACCAGCAAACTACAACTGTTTGCAGTTTTTTTTATTATACTGACAATACTTAAGCTATTGAAAGTTTGTGGCATCTGGAGGCGTGAAAGGTGCAACATAAATAACTGACCTGACGCGGGTGGTGGTCTGGACTTTTGGCAGGTTGATGGTCATTTTGCCATCCTGAGGCGTTTGTGAGACGGGCTTGGCTTTAATCAGGTCAGGGGCCGTGCGGATGGACAACTGCTGCTGCAGACCGCCAGCAATGATTCCCCTGCTTATCAGCACAAACGAGTAGTTGGTGTCTGGCTGCAGATGTGTGATCAGCTTCCTCTTTTGGTTTCCCTCCACCTCGACACTCTGTTGGTTGTACAAGATCTGCAAGAAAAAAAAAGAGAGAAAACTTGAATTTCCACTCACATGGAAGGAAGTGATAACAAGCCAAGTTTTCTCGTGATATTTTGGGTAATTTTAACTGACACGTACCTTGAAGGTAGCCTGGGATTTGTAGTTTTCTGGCAAGTCCCAGGTGAGCAGCACAGACGTTTTTGTGACAGCCTTGACACCAAAGTTAAGGGTTGGGAAATCTGCAAAGACATTTGTTCAAAATTATTGTCTTAGCAACCTGATGAGTTCCAGCACGTTTGGTGAGCTGGTTTTACCACTGTATCCACTGTACAATGGCTGCTGTAAAAGACAAGTATTTTGCTGCTGACCCACCATCCTGAAACCACTTTCTGTATAACTGCGCATCTGTGCTGTCATTTTCATTGCGAGTGTAAACGTTGAGTTGGAGCCGTGGCCAGCAGCAACTTATTTGGATTTAAAGAGACAAGACGCCCTAAAGCAGCTCATTCTGAAAGGAGCTCAAAATAAGCATTACTGACCAGACTAAAATCTCACTATCTAAAAATGATTTTGTGCAAAAATGTAATAAATATGTTTTGTATTGACCATAGACATAATCTTCTATATCATATAATAATCTCTTGAAGGAAGCACAATAGGTCACTGTTTTTTGAGTGTGGGTGTTTGTCGCTTGTTCTGTTTTTTGTTTGAGATTTTTAATAAAGGGCTTAGGTTAGGCTAATAAAGGCTTGATGCTTTATTCTATTTCAGCATATTATGAACAAGTTAAATAAAGTGATATGAAAAAACATATTTTAATGATACAGAGTGCTAGAATGATACTCCTGTCTTTCAACTTCAAAAAGTTGAAGTGGTATGAATAGTTTTCCAACAGACTCAGATCTCAGAGATCACTGGAATATATGTGACAGTAGAGAAGGCAACCTGTGTCTTAAAATAGGCACCAATCCACTAATTAATAGGAAATCTTAGGTTTACAAGATTATAAAACACACAAGGAGGTATGTGCTGGGTATGCTTTAGATTTATGTGTAATGGGATGGAGGATGAGGATGCGTGGTAATGTGACTGTAGCGTGTAATGAGATTAGCACTCTGTAAATCAATAAACAGAGCTGCGGTACACTGAGAGGAAGATGAGACAGACGTGGCACAGATGGAGACAAAACTGGTTCTCTACAGAAGTTAAGGCGCCACAAAAGTTATGAAACACATGGACTTGTTGACGGACGAATGGCGGAGTATGATGACATGAGGGCTTAAAGCCCTGATGTCATGTTTTCAAAGCAAACATCGGTGAGATGTGTGTGAATAAACGCCCTACCGTTCGACATGGTCCTGCTCTGGATGCTGGGGCTCAGAGGGCCGCCCCCCTTGCTGGTGAAAGCCTGAACGCGGATGTCATAGGTGGTGTCTGGGTTCAGTCCCTCAATGGTCAAGTGCGTGTTCGTGGTGTTGCTGTTGCTGTCCTGCTGGTTGTTTATGTCTTTGTACACCACCCTGTAGTAGATTATCTTGCCGTTCCGTTCCTTCAGGTTTGGAGGCTCCCAGGTGAGCTTCGTGCTCGACTGGGAGAGACCCGTCACCTTGAGGTTGAGCGGGAAACCTGTGGGCAGGTCTTCAGGTGTGCTGATCTCCTTCACGTAGGCCTCACCGGCGCCGGCACGGTTCCGGGCGCTGAGCCGGAAGACGTAGGTTGCTCCTTTGTGCAGCTCGGTGACGGTGTGGTGGTCTTTAGTTTTGCTCAGCTCCAGTGAGGTGAAGACCTCTTCGTCGGTGCGCTTGTACTGCAGCTGGTAGCCCATCAGCTCACCCACCATTTCTTTAGGCGGCTGCCACTGAATGAGTGCCGTGTTTCCCATGGTGGTGCTGATCATCATAGTGGGTTTGCCTGGCACTGAAAAGACAAAAAAATTAAATCCACACTCCAAAATGTTTAAAATCACAGCTAAATTTAGGCTCAGTGATCCCAAAATGAGATTTCCTTTACCACCATCCTTGTCATCCTCTTAAAAACAAACATGCTAGACTTTTGTGAGCAGCTATTTTCTTGTAGTCAGATTTTTTCTATTATAATTTATAAATTGGCATTTAAAAATTCTAGTCCTCAGGGTCTTTGTAATAGGACCACAGCATGTGGTGCTTTTCCACAAAGTCATCTTTACATTAACTCTATTTCCAATGACCATGTAATTACGCAAATTGAAAATATGAAAATAAATTTAAATGAAAACACATCCATTTATAAAAAACAAAAACATATTTTTTGATTAAACGTTTTTGCACTAGAATGAGTTTTTGTTGTTGTATCAAAATTACTATATTTCAACCTTCAATAAAATTGAAGGTTGTATTTTTCTAAATTTTAAATTAGGATGCACTTAAAAGATTTTGATATTTACCACAGGTAAAGGTGAATAAACCAAAGATTAACAGTTAAAATAGTTATTTTATGCATGTACATATGAATCTACAAAAAACAGTATTAACAATGCAACAATACTTGCGTTACAAGGCAGTTTTATTCTGGAAACCTTCATACAAGTACAATACCACAACCAATCAACAGTACCTCACATTCCCAGAGTTGAAACATTTTTATCCCGGATTTCTAATGAACTGGGCCAGATAAAAATTACACAAAATAATGAATAATGATGTTTTTTTTCTTTAAATATAAAGCTATTTTGACCTAGTGAGGTTTAGCCACTCCTTTGTTACATGTATATTCATAGAGAAATATTACTGTGGGGTTTCTTTCAATAATTTAACTAATAGGTCCCAGGCAAACACAGAAAGCCCCAAAGACGTCATTGTGACACCTGATCTGTGCGTGGTCTCTGTTTTGCAAGAAAGCGTTGATAAAACTGCTGCAAACCTGCTCCAGTCGTGGTGACGACCTTCGCTTTGCTCCGAGCTCCGTCGCCCTTGGTGGTGTAAGCAGCCACAGTGACGGAGTAGGTGGTTTCAGCCAGCAGTCCACCAATAACAGCTTCCTGTAATACGGTGATATAACAAGAAATCAATTAACCTGAGTAAAATAAAACCTTCTCATTGATGAAAATCATAATAAAATCCCCGTCAACGAGCTCACGTCCCCTCAAAGAACACACAGCACCAAAAGAAACCGTAATGCGATTAAACCCCCTTATATTCCATTTACTTATATTCCTTGATGAAATTTCATAAAACAGAAATTAAACATTAAAAAACGCAGACAAACAGGAGCAGAATTTTTTCTTGGGTAAGAAAAACTCCTACGCCCAACTGTAAGGCACACACTGCACCCATTAACCAACAAACCAAATGAACCAGAACATCACCAGTGTGTCAGTGTTCATGCCTGCCGCATGGATAAGCATGGGATTATACCCAGAGGAGCTTAGGATCATCACTGCACTGCAGTTTCTTAAAACCCAACAAAAATCTTCACTTCTGACAGTCGCAAAACTATGAAATTCAACCCTTTTTGGTAAACAAATAGCAGACCATTGACTTATAAAGCTAGAATTTTCGCTCCTCTGGCTGCATGTCCATGCAGTGTCATGCACAAAACACAGACACACTTAAAGTGACTGAACAAATCAGTAACTCAGCAGTCAGGAACAAACAGAGAGAGACAACTGTTGTGTGTAACCTGCTGCAGTGCTGGCACTCACTACACCAGTCTGCATCGGTCGGAATAAAAACACACCCACACTCTGGAATTAAACAGTGTGCTTGAACGAAGCCAATATGTAAACCAACAAACAAACAGACAGACACACACACCTGACTACACATACTCACCAGGAGAGACAGGCCTGTGCAAACGGCTTAGGTCACTTTGGATTTCTTTTTATTTTGCTTCCAAAAGCAAAATATAATTTGTAACACTCAGCTTTTTTGTTGAGTGTTACAAAAAGCTGTTTTTGTAACACTCAATAGTTACAAATTCCCTAAATATGCTGCTTGCAATGTTTGTTTTTTTTCACCAAGTTGTTTAACATTTGTACCATAATATGCAGAAATATCCTCAAATAAGTTTTGCTGACTGTGAATGAATAAGAAGAAGCCAATGAAAAACTTTGAAAGACCTTGGAAAACTGAATTTAAAAATTATAAGCAAACCTCTCCAGTCTAGGATAAGTAAACATATAGACAGAAAACTGCGCAGATGAGCTCAGACTCGGGAATAAATGAATGCCTGCGGCTTAAGTACACATGCTCGAGTTATCTGGTTCTGGCTGGAGCCACTGAGAGGACAAGTACACAGATGCCTATAAGCCTTCCTGCTGGAACTCCACTTAAACTCCAGATACTTGGAATATCATACAGCTTCTCGCTATTGCAGTTTCTGTAGCTAACGAAATTTTAATTTCTTTAACACAGAAAGAATATTTAACAGGCTTTATATGCTAGCTCTGCTCAACTGTTCTTTCTACCATCTTCCTCTTTCAGGGACATTCGGCACTCCCATGCTAACCTTTGAGAGATGGGAGAAAAATGCTAAATTACTGTATAATAAAACCATTTTAACTTTATGGAGGAAGTCTCATTACTTTATTCATACAAAATGGCTTTAACAATCTCTGTGATGGCAGCAGCAGAGATGGCCCCTCCTTCTGCACTGACAAGGTCGACCCAGGTCTGGTAACACTTTTGAAACTCAGCACAAAGTAGAGAAAGCAAAGCTTCAAAGTTTTCCTTCAGAGCAAATGCTTAGAGCAGCACCAAAGGGCATTACAAAGATTATCAAGTCATAGAAATGGAGTTTTTTCTATGAAGCTCCCTGCCAAAATCCTCACAAGAATGAAAAGAGTCAAGAGGCAATTAGTGACACAGATAGAAATAAAATTGCTTCTTTTAGCCAAAAGGCAATATTTGATTTTATCTATGTTACTCGTTTCAGAATATTTGTGTCATGATTCACTAAAATTGAAAAAAAAATAGCTTTCTGATCTAACTCCTTGCTAAGCAGGGGTCACACCGACATGTTGATGTTTCTGCTGCTGACATCTGTCTGTGGCGTGTCCCACTGCATTAGCTACCTGGCAAACAGAATGCTAAGCAAACAACACGGACGTGTGAAATGGGAGACGTCCTCTGACGGCATCTGGCGCTCTGTCTGACAGGTGTTAATCAACGCATTAAAGGCAGAGGGACAAGAGCCAAGCTTGACTCTTGGCATGTGGCTGCAAGGGGAATCTGTGACCAGGTTTCTGCAGCTTAGCGTTATCGCGTAGAACCAAACGGCTGCACACACCCTGCTGCCTCAGTTATTAAAGGGACAGATTAAAGTACTGGTGTTGGAGCCATTTTACCAGTTTGACAGGCTGAAACTGTCGCAGTTGCAGTTTTCTAATTAAAGACTGCAGTAATCGTCTTGGGTAGAGCCATGGATGTCCACAGGTCATTCCCCCCACCCCAAGCAAAGACTCGAAGTCTCTAATGATATAAATATTCTCACATCAGTTGCACACCTTCTTGTCTGCCGGTGGCTCTGCATTGCTGCAGGTTATGAATTCAAATCAGGTACCATTTTATCCTTAGGCTTAATTTCACTCATGAACATTTAACTTTTTCAAAGACTTTCATTACAAACTCATGAATTATTCATTTACACTATTGCGAAAACAAATATGCATTTATAGTGAAAATAGGTTACACCTCTTCACATCAAATTTATGAATAAATAAAACAGAAAGATATACTGCTATTATATTTCCTATATAAAGAAATATAATTGTATTTGTAATGATATAAATAACACCTGTAATGTTCAAAGTGCTCATATTTTTTCTGTATAATGTAGTAGTGTCGCATTCTTTTTCTCGTTTAAAGTAAGACAATTATGTAAACTTTCTTAAATTATAGAGCAACATTATTAAAGAAACTCCGATTTGTTTTGTGTGGCAGCAAGCAGAATAAAAAGATGCCAACAGTGAAAATGCAAAAAGATTAGGAAGTTTTGGCTAACTCTTAGCTACTAATGAGGCTAACAGCTCTAAGCTAAAAAAAATATTTTGTTATATAGTGTCTTTTAAATCACAGTTAGTGATTCAGAAGACCTTTACTCACTCTGTGATTAAAAAATGGGGCCTTGGTATTTCAAAAAAAGCTAATTTCCTCTTGTTGACCTGAAGCCTGAGGGTAAAATTTTATTTTGCAAGCTGGTTGTATTTTAACACAATTATTCATTTCCAACACAAGTTCTGTTAAATCTGTACCTTGCAGTTTTTACTGGTAGAAAATAAAACAAACTTGAACAGATAAGTTACAAATTATTAGTAAGCATAATAATAATACAGCAACTGGCTAACTGTTAGCAGCTAATGACAATAAAAATGAGCTTTTGTCACTTCCTATCAGAACTAAACTAAAATGATGTTTTTTATTTTACTAATGCTTTACAACACAATTTGTGATTGAAACGATCTTCACTTGATTTGTGTAAACAAAAAAACATAAAATTCTTTGTCTGCCCCAAAATATAGCTTAATCCCACTATTTTGTGCAAATACAATATTGTGTATAATCTAATTTTATGCATTTGAATGCATTCTTAAACCTCTCCAAAAGAAATCAAATAACATTTGGGACAAAGTGTGAGATGATTTGTAAGCACTGAAGCAACTAAGTGTTAATCGCCAACTGTGTAAAGTTAATATTAGCTTCCTATCAGTGCTACAATAAAGGAGTATTTAACTTTACATTTCTTCTGATTCTGATTTATAAACTCTTTATTTGTAGTAGAAGAAAAAAAAATCTCATTTTCCACCTTCTTGCGTTCCACATACTGTGTATCGTCTCATCATATCAGAATCCCCCCCTTTCCGAACCTCGCACCTCCCCACATTTCTCTTCAATGCCTGACTACGAATAGTAAGTGGCTCTGCATTTACAGTTGTGCCATACGACTTCTTGGAGGTAATAAGCCATAACAAAGAGCTGTGTGACAGCCATGGAGCGGAGAGCTGCCATCCAGGCGAATGAAAAGAACATGAAAGACTGGTGGAAACCTCAGAGATGTGCGGAGCTGATAAAACCCCGCAGCTCCTCCCTTCAAATAGACATGTCATCTTGAACGGTGGGGGGAGACAGCAGGTTAGGCGAGCCTGATTAATGTCATCGTCACACTGAGATGGTGACACCCAGCCTTTTGACTGCAGTGTACACTCAGTGGTTGCAAGCACTCCATGCACACTGCACCACAGGCCTCCACATTTGCAAGTGCACAGCTGTTACTAGTTTGTCTTATTATAAAATGTTGACCTATACACATTTCTTAGTGGAATAACACTCATGCTCTGCAGTTGCAGTTGTGCTGATAAAACAAATAATAAAAATGAGCGTGCAAACACACACACACACACACACACACAGAAAAACACTTGGGCAGACGTTTCTGGCTGCGGTTGTGATGGGGTTATGATCTTTCATGAGGATTCACACTGAGTGGATTACAGGCATGGCTTACACAGAAACAAACACACACATACACCGACTCGTGATCCAAAACACACAAGCACCCAAAACACTGCAGAGGGGAGAGGAACCTGCCCTGCAAGACAAACCCCAGCAGCACACATGAGGGTTACTCACATGCTCGGTGGACTCTTCAATATTCCACTGATGGGAGAGAAGACACAGGACAACAGGGCGGGGGAAACAAATGAGTCAGAAACACAACAGGCAAGGGAAAAAAAGCACTTGTCTTTTTTTCACTGGTAGATGAATGTAAGTGTCAATAGAGTCATGCTGTGGAAAAAACACTGTGATGGAAGAGATGGAGGGAAGGAAATAAAGAAATGACAGAAACCTGAGTGGCATGAAAGAAATTGGAGAAAAGAGAGAGGAATGGTTGTGAAATCATTGTTCGCAATGCACTGCCTTGTTTCCCTGTTCACCTTTTGAATCCAGGGAAATTTAAAGCAACCTCTGTTAGGTATGATAGCTGCCTCATTGTGGACATAAACTATGCAGAGCCTGTGAAGCGTTTCTCTTTCCCCTAACGGAGGCGGAGGGAAGAGCCTTTATTCATTACATTTCAATATATGTTTCCAAAATGTTCTCCCTGCTCGCTGTGCTCGACCGAGTAATTCCCGGGGGGAAAGTGAAAGCCCATTTCGGTGCCGCGGGGCTCCGTCAGCGTCGAGCATGAAATCCTATTACCAGTGCCGCTGTGTTAGCCCTGTGACATCAAACCCCGCTGATGCAGAACGCAACGGCTGGTGTTCACCAGCTCAGTCACTGCAGAGGAGTTCACTGATGGGTGGCCTGGCTGACAACGGGGGCAGGAGAGATGACACTGGTGACACTGATGAGGGACAAAGTAGAGAGGAGAAAACAGGTCGGGGTGGAGGTGAGGTTGCGTGGGCGACTATTGTAACAGCTCTGGGGGAGAAGTGGGAGAGCAGAGGCAAACGGAGGAGGGGACTGGTCAGGCCAAAATAGCATCAACACATCAGGAATAAATAAATGTTAAAGGGCCAAAATATCCATTTGCATCACCTAAATTTACAGATACATAATTATAGTTTCATATCTGATTTTATGTATTTGGCTTTAATTAATTGAACTAGAATACATGAGATAGGAAATTTATAGTTTTGCGCTCTCTCATCCTTTGCACCCTGAATGAACTGCGATGCCAGTGACATTTTGTTGGTTGGAGTACTGATTGTTTTGAATGGTTTTATTATTCACTACCTGCACAGTCTTCATTGAGTGACAGCTTCCAGACTAAAGATTGTCTGGTGTGGTGCAGTCTGGTAGGAAAGAGGCTGGATTTCTGAGTTTTGGATGATTTCAAGGTACATTTCTAGCTGTTTTTTATTTCAGTTCATCACAGCTTTATTGATTAAACTGCCTGGGGTTAAATATAGAACCTACGCTATTTCATTAGACTATTTTGTAAAGATCAACTCACCAGGATAAAACAGAATAAAGTTTTCACAGAATAAATGTAACTTAAATTGCATTTTGAAACTATTTATTTACAAATTGTATAAAAATATTTGACCACAGCAGTTTACAGATACCAAATTGAAGTGGGAAAGGAACAAATGACAAAACAAGGCAACGAAATGCAGATACAAATTGACAAAATGACAATTTGAGCCTTCAAATATACTGTATAAATAAACAAAAAATACATAAGAACATTGAAAAATAATTTTAAAAAATAGGTTTCTCTTTTGATTTCTACCTAACTTATCTGGCTGCTTTGGTTTTTCCAAGAGGATCTGGGAGTAGAACACAGACATCCTGTCTCGAGCTCTTTGTAAGGGATTCTAAGGTTATCCCTGCCCAGAAAAAATATATAGTTCTGTGAGGCCTATCCCACAGCAACATGCCTGAAGGATCTCCACAGGGAGCTGCTGTAATTCCAGATTAACCTCTCTTTAAGGTAAATCCCAGCCACCCCTCAGAGGAACCTACATACCTACCTACTGTCCCTTGTAGCCAAAATCAAGACACAAGAACTTTTGTCTTTCTTGAAAAACTCTGAGTTATGAACCATCAAGTTTTTGTAAACTAAAGGGAACAACTCAAAGTTTACTCAGCAGAAATACGAGTTCTAGTTTTTCCTGACTTCAACAATAACACACCAGTGAGTCATAAACTGCAGAGACAATTATCATAATTCATATAAAAGACTAAATAGTCTCCACCCGGTTCTCAGCGGATGGTTTTTATTACCAAACTGTTAAGAGACATAAGAGCTAAGCCTGGTTGATGTCCCGGTTGTACCGAGCCCAAACACATGGCACATCAAAATCTGCATCCTTGTGCTCCCCTGACATAGCGGGGCACTAAAAGTAGCGTTTAAGAGCAGCTGCTGCTTAACTCCACATCTAACAATTTGCGATGTTCCTAATTGCTTAATTTGTTTGCCGTCAATTCAGCTCAGTATGTCAACAGAACAGCAAACACATTAAGGTTCACAAGTTGCTATCGCATCTTGGGCTTAATCCCCTTTCAGCTGCAACTGCTTTTGCTTTCTGCCTAAATCCACAGGAGAATTATAAATTATCCTCCATTTATATTTTGAATACCAACGCAAGCTGAAAACACATCGCTGCTGATAAGCGTCGTTTGTGGAAACGGAGCGGTATAATTTGCAGGCGGGTGAATGCAAATGTGATGACATGGGCTGAGATGTGTGGCTATAAAAATGGGAACGAGGAGAGAACGAGTGATGCGGAAGAGAAGGAGCTGTCATGATTGATGGAGTGAAACGAGCTGAGGTGCTTCTTTTCTCATGTCCCCTCTTTTCTCCCCCCCCTCTCATCCAAACCCAACCACCAATTTCCATTCAACTCCAGTCTGGGGCAGCGAAGGCCGTAGAGGCAGTGAAGCATCACCTTGCTCGCATAAACTACAAAAATGCATGAGCGGTCAAACCAAATGAACCTGGAAAGTGGTGCTGAATAGAGGCAAACTCGGGTAGAAAGGGAAACTTGGGTGGAAGAATGGAGTGACGCTAATGGCTTCAAATATTCAACCATTTCCAGTTAAATTTCCAGTATGCTGTATGCGAGAATGAGCCTGGATGTAGCTGCGAGGGCACTACAATGGAGCTGGTGTTGGGTTGCCAGCTCAGGTTTGGGTCACTCCTCCAACAGGAGAGCAGCTGCAAAGAGTTGATAACATCACACTGTTAACTTGGCCTATGGTTTAAATTTAGCAGGGAAATGAGGGCGATGTGTGGGCTCCTGCTTGAAAAGAAAAGAAGCGCTTAAAGCGCCCACGCTCAGGCGAGCTCTCCCAGCGTTTCAGCTAACCCTGAGAAAGCTAAAAAGGATCCAGAAACATGGAGACAAAGAGAAGGGCCGAGCAGGGGGGGGTGGTAGTGGTTGTGACAGGATCTGCAATTCAATCACATGGCTTAAGGTTGTGATTGAAGTCTGAGGTGAGGCTGCTGTATTCTTTCAGAGATCTGGAAAATGTGGTATTTGCTTTTCCTCCTGGCGGGCTCGCTGTGAATCAAATCCAGGTGAAAGGGCGGCTATAAAACTGATTTCACAAGACATTAAGGAAATTTCTTTGGAGAAACACTTTGGGATGTGCCAACGCATAGGAAAATTGTTTTCTTCCATTGATTCATTATCAATTACAGGTGTGCGTTTGGAGGATTTGTATGACTCTCAGGGTGAGTCACGAACTCTTTCCGACCAGCTGGAACGCCTACTACAGAGCTGATCTTTGCAGGAAGCATGCTGGCTCATGTTATCTCTGTTGTCGAGGTACGAAAACGGGAAAAGGTGTGAAAAAGGAGGGATTGTTTTAAAACCAGTTGAATGATAAAGGAAAAGAGACTGTTGTCTGACTGTGTGGTCTTCTAATGATGTCTGGGCAAGTCCTTGCAGGTTGGCTACTCAATGATGAGTCTGTTGAGATGACTCAACCAAGGGTAGCCGACATGCACGCAAGGACCTGGTAATTACTCAACCAACTTTTAAGCAGAACAGGGGCAAAAGGAGGCCAAATTTGGGAAAGGAAGGAGAAAAACTCCAACGTCTGCCACGGAGTTAAAGGTGTCCCGAGCAAGAGATTGGAACACGTGAGCTATAAAGTACGCCAAATTACAGCAAGCTTTCATATTTATTGTATGCGACAAATGAGACATGGCAGGGAGTATTGTTTGCATAACAAGTAGGGTCATGTTCAGTTCAGTTTTCACAACTCAAAACAAATTCATGCGGAACGTGCCGCCACGGAGAAAAACACACTGAGGAAGATGAGCAACCACCATGTTTTTCTCAGTTTCCATACCAAACGGTGCTGTCCCGTCTGTCGACACACAGTCAGATAACAATGAAGTGTCAGCAGCAGCTGCCAGAAACAACTGCTCTTAAACAAAGGGTGCGCTGTGTTCGGAAGATCAGGGCTCCTCACTTTTTGACCAGTGAGGAGCTCTCACTGGTCAACAATATGTTGTGTGCCAGTCAGGTTTTTATCCACACTTATTCTCTGATATCTCCAATAAAACCTAATGGGTTTAATTTCATTGTGTGAAAACTATAGAAAATCAGTTTACACAAAATTGAAATTCAAAGACTATATCAGTCATTTTCTTTGAGGACAGATGGCTTAATTTTAGCTTTGTGTGTACTTTTAGCTTTTCTTACCCAAAGAAAGTACCACTGGTCTACAGCTTCTTTGTTTATCTCTTCATACTTTTCGGCACAAGACACTGACTGAGCTACTGCTGACATAAACTTTGAATACTCTTCTTGTTTTAACATTTTTCTTTTCCACAGAAATAACCTCTGGCTCAGAGTTGGGCTTAACCACGTCCCATTCTTGGACCATATATAGTACTAGTGGACTACTGTTCTTTTGTCTAGCTGATTCCTTTGTCTTGTCAATAAGAGTGACTAAGATTTTGACACTGAAACAGCATAATCTTTGTTTGTACAAAGAAAGTACCCCTGGCCCGGTACCTTTGTGTTTAGTTGTGTCTTTTTCCTGAATGAACCCAATAACAGTGGTCTTGCTTCCATTAACTTTTCTTTCCCATAGAAAGCAAAAACAGGGTTAAACATGTGCTGTTTTGGTGAATTAAAACATTTACTGAGTTGCTGCAAACTGGTGTCAAGAACAAACACCAGTACAGAGGATAACTTTCCATTTCCCTGTGTATTTTATTTCTTTTTTTGGATGGCACTGCACACTGAGCCAGGCTTGTCTGCTGCTTTCTTCCTTTTAAGAAGGCAACATTTTGCTTTCCACTGTCACCAAACCTTGGATCTGGTTGAAGAATTGCTGCAAGGTATTCATTTTTTGCCCACCATTATTAAATGATCACCTGAATTTGATTGTGTTGTATCATGCTACTATTTGGATTGACTGGAACGTCACATTTTACTGACTCTGACAGTAAAATTTAAGTCTGCATGGGAATCAGCTGTATTGATTATACTGGGCTAAATATATTTCAACAGATTAAATAGACCAAGTTAGATTGAATAGATTGGTGTGAAAGTAGTGGATGCTAATATTAATCACATGCTTCTGTTAAAGGCGACAGAAGGTTAAAGTACATACACACAAATTTTATAACTAACAAACAACCAGCAGGAGATTTTTAAGCCAGTTTCTTTTATTTGCAAATTCAGGAGGCTGTGAGAGTTGGGTTTTTATGGCTTAAGGATATTCATGAATCTCTGAGACCCATTTAAGGATTACAATCTCATCCATCTCATGGTGTTGCGCGGCTTTGGGCGATTCAGTGCACTTTGCATTACCGTGTAAAGGGGCAGTGTCAGGGAAATAACTTTAATTTATAAACATGGTAACAAGGCAGTGCATATGTATTGGTGTTAAAACCGCAAGGGGGGCTGCATTGATTTCACTAAGCCACATCCTGATGTTACGAACAGAAAATATATCCAACAGCTATTACTGTAGAATTTAAGTGGATTTCATTCTGACAGCTAATCCAAAGCTGTGGGAGCTGGGTACCAATTTAGAGTCAAATGTCACATGTGGAAAAAGATTATGAGAACCGAAAAAAGGGAGGATACTGCAGTCGACAGAAAGATACTGCGTCTTGCCCGGTGTAGGAGAAGCAAAGTGTGAAGAGGAGAGGACAATAGAGAGACAGAGTCATGAAATGTGGACAGCAGAGCCAAGAAGGGACAAAGAAAAGCTGGACTAGAAAAAAAATATTCATTACCTGCGCCTCTGGCAAAGCAACATCCATGATGTTCGGCTGGCCTCGTGGTTCGCCGTTTTCCAGTCGGGAAAAGATGACTTGGTAGCCCCTGATTTGTCCATGCTGCTTCACCTGTACAGGAGGCTTCCAAGTAACGCGGATGGCGGTGGAGTTTATGGCCTCAACCTCCAGCTTCCTGGGAGGGGCTCCGGGCACTGCAAACCAAACATTGAGGGAGGGAAGCGCAAAACAGTGACATGAAGAGATTAAAAACACCAGGAAGGAAAAGAGATTTCACAGTCAAAATATGTGTTCCAGTGGTGATCTCCCACACAAATCACAGGCGGAGTCCCTCAAGGCTCTGTTCTTAGTCCAATTTTTATTCAACTCTTCAGTTTAAAGTGTATCACAATATGTCTAATGCTGATGACCCACAAACTTATAATCCAGCATAACCACAGCCTATTAGTTATTGAATAATGTCAAACTGAAGGGCTGTGGGCCAAATCCAGTCCACTATAACTACTTAAATATAACTAGATATTATATTACTTCAATGTTAAAGGATCCTAAAAATTTTACTTCTAGAAGTACTCGTCAAATTCAGAGAAAGCTATATTTTAACAGTATTAATAAGCAACACATTCTGCCACCACCAAAAATGAAAGGCATTTAGACACCTTTGGTGTACATGATATAAATGAGACAGGGTTAGAATTTCTTCAAACTTCATGGGGAAAAAAACTTCAAGCCAAAATATATGCAGAAATTGTTGATACCTGAAGACTGAAATCTTTAGTAGTTACTGCTTTTATTCCATAAACATCATGGGTTTTTGCTATTACTCATTTAATAAATTCCTCCTTTTTCTTCTCTTACTTGGGTTGTCTTGTCTTGACAAGTCAAAAAACTATCAGAAATAATATTAGATACTTATAAATCTAACCATCACTCACTCCAGATGTTCTAAGGCTCCTGCTTTCCCCAAAACACCACATACCCAACAGCATGTAGTCTAGTCATGTCTTAATTACAGTAAGAAATTAGCCGTGTTGCAGCAAACTTCAAACACATTAATTATAGACGACTCTCTCTTAGGAGAAGCCGCTCTCGATCACACTGCAAACAAAATGAGAAACGTGTTGGAAAAAGAGAGAGGGAGAGAAGAGTGATAGAAAAGCGAGGCGAGATCAGTTCCACTTCTGTTCTTTAGTGTGGGGAGAAAACGACAGTATTCACACAGCACAAGCAGAGGAAAGTAACACAGCACTGAACCCCAGGGAGTGATGAGCTTCAAGATGGAGACAGGAGGAAAAAGACGGTGATCCCAATCGGCTACCACCGAGCAAGAGGAGAGTGAAGGAAATCAGTGACAGGCTGCTTCGAGCGAGTGACGCGGAAAACCTACCATCCTCCTTGGTTCTCATCTTGACCGGGGCACTCTCAGGGCCTGGGCCCACATCAGTGTGCGCCCTCACCCACACCTCATACTCAGTCCACTTCTCCAGGCCTTCCAGCACATGGCTGGTGGCGTCTGCACCGATGTCGGGCACATCGTGCCGCTCCGTGTCCTCTCCCGCCGGAGCCTGGTAGCTGACTGTGTAGCGCACGATGGCACCGTGGCGGCTGTCGGCAGGCGGCGCCACCCAACTCACCTTGAGGCTTGTGGAGGTCAGGCTGACCACGTGAACTTCCTGAGGTGGAGCGGAGGGAGCTGCAGGGGGAGGGGGGCAAAACCACACGAAGGAAAGCCACGGATCAAGCAAACAAAAAATAAACTAAAAATGCACACAAAACATGACAAAACTAAGGAAGCTTTTTGCTGAGTATTCAACTTGAATCATTTGCGGCATTTCCATTTTGAAAAACGCTAAATTGTGTTAATCATATAATATAGAATGTAGAAAATCAATATATCTGTTTGCAGAGATGCAGGTATAATATTTATTTATGACTGTTGATGTGCATTCTCACTCCTGCCCTCTTCCAAAACACAAAATTGCTCAAGTTTGAATGCAAAAAGCTTCCATACTAAACAGGATGCCACCTCCAGACTGAGAGATTTGGATGCAAAAAAGAAGAAAAAAAAACCTTATCGGTCCAAAGCGTAAGCTGTGTTTGGTGCCACGTTTATGCAGAAGGCAATGAAATCACAGGGTGAGGCGGACAGAATATAAGATGTGCCGAAAAGTTTACAAGGCTGTGTGTTTTATGAAGACGTAATTTGTCCCTGACCGCCCCCCATGCTGCCTCTTGCAGTGCGCAGTGGGAGCAATAAACGGGCCACGGACGTGTGAGATTGTGAACAAGTGCGTGACAGTGTGGACTGGTGTTAACACACTGATGCAGAAGCTCTGGGCTTCGTTAGAGAGTTTGGCTGCAGCTGAGACGGGCAGTTAAAGACAGCATACGGCCTTGGCTTTTACGATCAATAACACTTAAGATAGCTTCGGCTAACATCTGGTTTGTCACCACTGAAATTTCAGCAGATAAAAAAGGAAAAACTGAGGTATAACCCACTACATGATACTCTGTCATTAACCCACAGATAAACAACTGAACTAAAAGTTAAGTAACCACATAATTAAGGTGTAAAAACACTGGAAACTGTTACACAGTTTATAATAAACTTGAATGCATTTAGCTTGATTTTACGTGATAGATCAACACAAATGGAGATGTGGAAGAAGCTTCTCTTCTCTGGATGCACAAAACTGCACTTCATTGCTAATATACAAAAATCACTGCTTCTACAACCATGTTTGGCCAAATCAAACATGTGGGAGATGGAACAACATCAGCCCATTATTTTCACTGTGAAACAAATCACTGTTTGAGGATACAAAAATAAAATAAGAAAAATAAAAAATGTGATTTTAAAATCGTACATTTTAAAGTCCTCCTCACTCCGAGTTAATATTCAACTTGAAAAAATGAAAATAACCAAACTTATCTAAAATAATCAGTTTAATAATAAGTACAAATGTTTAAACTCTCGAGTCTGGAGGAAAAAAACAGAAACCAAACACTTTCAAGAAGCAGAACAAAACTGAAAATAAAATACGACAGCATTCAAATATTTCATGCAGATAAATGTATCATGAATATGTTCAACTTGATAAAAATAAGATCTTGTTTTTGTTCAAGCATGCAGATGAAATCTGACAAACCAATGCCAACACACAAAACTTCACCTTTAAAAATAAAATGAATCATAAACAGATGTGCACATGTGTCTGATCCACAGTGAACAGAAGAACTACAAAGGCTTCGTAGCAACTTGTGTATTGAGGAAAAAGTGGCAGTCTGATGATTCTGCTATTGAGCTCCAGATCAAAAATCAGTAAGATCAAAGTGAAGGTGGACCTGGGGAGGACAACGCCAAAGGGAAACAGAGAAAACTTGCAATTATGTCGACTGACTGCAACTGAAAATCCAGATATATTTAAATTTGATCTGCTTTTAAAACAAATCAAATGCAAAGATTTTTTCACCATTTTTTCCCCCAACATTAATGGTGTAAACAAAACTCCAGCAACCTACACACTCAGCATCAACCTTTGTACATGAACTACTGGAAAAATCCTCGGCTTTAATTTTTGGCAAAGCGAGAAAATCTGAACATCCACCGAACCTCGACCTATTGATTTTCACCCATCTTAATCACTCGCACATCAATGCTTTACCATTCAATTTTAGGTCAAGTATCTTGCAGCTGTGTCAAGCCCTCAGCTGAGCTTGGTGAAGCACAGAAAAAAGATAAACGGAGCTTCCTTCTGATGCTTGTTCTGACTCCTAAAAAATAGTGCTGAACATTGAAATGCAACCCTGGAGAAAGGAATCATTTCGAACCGCCTGTTCACTGCAGAACCTTCCCAAGGCTGCTGGCAGGCGTTGAATCGCACCACAGTGTGCAACTCAGATTTGTTTCTCTGAGTTTTGTGGACTTATTCTGGTTCTGTTTGTTTAATTATCATGGCTCACCAACACGATTTATGCATGATTTTGGTCAAACTTAATTCATTGCTGCTGACTACAGTGCTGTGAAAATTTGTTACGTTTTGGCCAGACTTTAATGTTTTTAATTAATTAAATTTCAATAAAACAAAACAAATACGAAATGCAACTTGCAAGTTGCTTTTTTTTTTTTTTTGGAGAAATGTACAATCTTCGCAGTGGTTAAAGAGCTCCTGTTTCTGCCCGGCCTCTTTTCTTGGCTCATTCTTTCTTATTGTTGAATCATGAAGACTGGATCTAACCGAGTTGAGGGAGCCCCTGTGGTGCTTTAGATGTTGTTCTGGGACCTTTTATGACCTTCTTGAGGAAACTATGATGCACTTTTATCGTAAATTTAGTAGACCGGCCACTCCTGGGAAGGTTCACCACCATTTCATGGTTCACTGAAGTCACAAAGCATTAGAAACGGCTTTGTGGCCCTTCCCAGATAGATGTTGGTGACTTTCTTTTTTTTTCTTCAGTTTTACTTGAATCTGTTTGAGATTTCTATTCGTTTTTGAGAAATTTAAGCCTATGTTGTGTTGGAGTCAAATGTCACATGTCAGACAGCAATCATGCCTGTGTATGTGAGTGAAATCCCACCGAAAAATATGAGTCTAATCACATTTTATGTATGAATGAACCAAGGTGCGTGGGAAAGCTTTCCTCAGAAACTGCTTTTTGTATTTACTGCGCTCATATTTATTGGATGACAAAAGGCAAAAAGGAAATCTGCAATGTAATCAGTTACTGGATCCATAAGATCCTTCAAACGTAGCCAAACAGCAACTCTAAACGTGTGCACCGGTGCGAATGCACACAAATCATCAGCCACTAATTGGCACCAACTCCATGATTAACTTTTATTAATCACCACAATTTTATCATGTTCCACAATTAAACATGTCCGCTTTTGTGTTTGCTTCCCGGAAGCCGGAGCCTTTGCTCGGATGGCCTTCGTCTTTTGTGAGGAAACAAGCTCCACATTGTAGCATCTCCGTTTGTTTCCATTGTTCCGCCTCCAACAGAGCAACGTGTCCTCTCTCCGGTCCACCACACTCAGTCAGCTTTCGGAACCACCTCATATGACTCCAAAACGTCATTTTGTTCTGTATTTTACTGAAGAATTTTAAAATCTTTGCAAATGTTTCTCCATTACAAGCCTTTCATGAGAATTTCATGTTAAAGGACACAGAGCAGTGCATCATTTTGAAATGGTATCGAGTTGGAAACTGTTTTTTTTTTTAAGAAAAAAAAGTCTAAAAGTGTGGTGTCCATCAGTATTCATCCCCTGTTACTGTGACACCAAACCACCTACCAACAGACGACACAATAAAGAAATGCAGTCCATCCATGTGAGATTTATTGCCCCTATAAATCACAGCTGCACAACATACTCAGGGTATCTGCAGGTTTCAGCAAGTCAAATTTAAGACTGTTGAAGACCTTTTCACTGCAACCTTGAATTAAATTTATGACCAAAAAACTATAAATATAATAGGGAATGGTGGGAGGTTTTTCTTTACTGCAATCAAGCATCACAAACCCCCCATAGTGCTAAGTTTAAAACTTTTCCTGCACATAATGAACCTAACGTTGTACGGGTTGGGAACAAAAGTGAGCCAGCGAGCTTGTTAGCTGTAGCCTCAACTGCTTTGAGTCACAAAACACAATGAATCTGTCTGTGTGTGACTCAAGGATTTGCCTGACAGAAAAATCAGAGAAAAATGAACTACAAAAATATACAAGATCAAAAAATCCTACAACAGTAAAATTTAAGATCTGTGATTAATGTATTTCAGGCCACCTTTAATTGATTCAAGATATTTAAAGATACGCGAATTTAAGATTATTTAACGATTAATGGGTGACATGATCATATAAAATCCACACAAAATTTGGTGGTAGTAATGCAGCAAAATGGGATATGAACAGTTTTGGAAGACATTGTTATTCAAATGATCACAATTGACAATCATGAGCATCTATTATTTTCCTCTCACAGCTATGTGCAAAGAAAGAGTGCGGTGCAGCAACCCTTCTGGGGGAGGTGACACAAGCATTGTGCCTACACAGCAAATAAAAAAATAAAACCAAACGAGTGACATTTTGAATGCTGGCACTGTAAAAGCACATAATGATATGAGGCAAGGCAACACAGCACAGCTCACAAATGTGGGAACAAGACACATTAAACGTACCTTTGACACAGGGCCTGCCCTCTACGAGACGGACAGGGGGGTTAGTGCTGGCGACAGAGGGGAGGTGGTGGAAGCGGGGAAGCTGACCGGGATAGCTGCTCTGTCAGCATTATATGCTGCTCTCAGATTGATTTGACATTCAAGTTGCTCACACTCTCCGTTTTAAGGTCTATAAAACTCACATTTTGCCCCCCTCTGTCTCTCTCTGTCTCTCTGTTTCACTCACTGAGGGGAACGACCTGAACCTGCTTCAGCCGCCTGGAGGTGACTCTCTGAAATCACTGGGTTAGTGGCTAACAAGCAGAAAAGACAGAGGACAGAGGCAGCGCTGGGGAAAGAAAAATGGAGCACTTACTGGACTGAGCAGTGCGGGCTTGGATGGGCTGGGTGTAGACGCCCAAGCCCATTTCAGAGCGGGCTGCCAGGGAGAAATAGTACATAGTGTCAGGCTTTAATCCATCCACAGAGTGGGAGCCCGCCGGGCCGAACGTCACGTGTTTCTGGAGAGACAATAAAAAAAACCCAACAACAATCAGCGGTGCTGCACGAGTTAGTTCATGTGCTCTACAATCACAAAATGATACAATCTTCAACTGCACTGAAAACAGTCATACGTGACTGCCAAGGGGAGCAGAAGCAGCTTGTTCCAAAAACAAGTCGGCCTCCAGCTTCCAACTGGTTCGGTCCAAGAGTTCCAACAAACAGCAGAAAAGAGTAGCAGAGCAGATTGTGTCCACGCTAAGTTTTTCTCATCAGCTGGGGAGCCGACTACATTACTACAATAACACAGCCTCCCCACTTAGAGGGGTTGCATCATGAAGAGTAAGAGTCATCTGCAGTTTCACTGTGGAAAACGAGACAATTTCAGCAGCAGACAGAAAAAGAGATAGAGCGAGCTGCTGTGCAGGAGAGATAATCTATACACGAAGCGGTCTGAACGTCGTGTTCTGATGCTAACCTTGCTGTCTGAGCCGGCCTCCCAGTACTGCAGCTCGTACTTGGTGATTTGGTCCTGCACGGGCCACAGCCACGTCAGCGAGATCCGGGTGTCGAGCTCGGCTTCGGCCTCGAAACTGGACGGCTGCGCCGGAACTGGGGCGGGGAAGACACAGGTTAAGGCATGGAGGCAAACATGCTTACAAAAGGTTTCATTTTGTTACATGGAACATTAATTTTTAATGCATTTCACAGGGAATTTATGTCAGTCAGTTACAATAATACAGTCAGTTCTAAATCTTGAATGGCAAAGAATAATTAAATAAAGGGCTCCTCAGATTAATTGTGATTAATTATTTAGTTAAGTAATCATAAACTAATCTGTTAATCCTTAACTTTAGTGTACAGATTCAAAAAAGGATAATTTGCTGAAAGAACAACATGATAAGGGAGTAGTAAAGCCAAAACGATGCGATTAATTCATTGATTGAGGAATCGATTCATCATGATGAATCTGATTGTTTTTTTAAAAGATTTTGTCGTCTCTGATGGCCTTAATTTGAAAGAAGTTTGACAATAAAGAGGGTTATGAGAGAGAGGGAAGACATTCGCCAAATATCGCCAGGCCGGGAATCAAACCTGCGACTACCAGCACCAGGCCTAAGGCCTCAATACATTGGTTGTGCTTTGCCCCTGCACCACCACAGTACCACCAAATCTGATCAATTGTTTCAGCCCCATCCCGGGTTTTATTTAGGCACAACAGAATAAAATGGGGCTCAGCTTGATTACACACCAAAAAAACAGAAGAATTGTTTTAACTCTACATAATAATTAAGAGTCTATGTTGGTCCATCACATGAAATCCCAGTGAAGTTGGACTGAGACTGAATGTGAACCAGCGATAAAGCACAGCAATAAGAAAGAACATCAAGATAAATATATCTGCTGAATGATTTGATCTCAAACACATGCGTGTGTTTATGATCTGTTGCGCAAATAGTCAGATTAAATGCCTTCCTCTAACAATGCATTCCTACTTCTTACACACATGAAGAACTCCAGAGCTCAGAGTGGCTGCTGCTCACCTCCCTGCTGTGTTTTGACTTGCAGGATGTCAGAGGGTGGTCCGTCACCTACGGAGGTGAAGCCCAGCACCCTGAGGCTGTAGGTGATGTCGGGCGTCAGGCCAGAGATGGTTGTCAGGCTGCTGTCGTCCGTGTTGTGTATCTGCCAGGCGCTGAGCGGGGCCGTCATGTCGGAGCTGTGGTAAATCCGGTAGCCTTTTATCTGTCCGTTGGGCTCCTCCGGCGGCTCCCACTGGACCAGCATGGTGCTGGCGCTCAGCATGCGCGCCTGAACGTGGAGGGGCGGCGACGAGGGCGCCTGCTCGCCGGTGCGCGTCTCCACGGGGTCGCTGGGCGGCCCGCGGCCGATGTTATTGATGGCCATGACGCGGAACTCGTACTCGGAGTACGGGCTGAGTCCGCCGATGCTGTAGCGCGTGGTTGCCACGCCCTCCACCTCCTGGAAGCCGTTGTCCGACGACTTGGCTCGGTATTGGATCATGTAGTAGGAAACGGGCTCTGGGTTTCCGGAGTCCCACGTTAGCGTCACGCTGGTGGCGGTGGTCTCCGTCACAGTCAGGGAGGTCGGGGGTTTCGGTAAAGCTGAAGATGAAGAAACAAATCATTAGCTTTAACATTTTTTTGTGCGTTTTTGCCATCAAGTCACAATATGTAACAAATCCATTACTCACATAATAAAAAGAAACTGGTCATTTTTATTTACATGATTGTTTAGTTTTTTTTTCACCTCTTTCTTTCTAGATGACAAAAGGCTGTTTATGCAGCCAGCCTTTATATTGAAACCCAGTTTTACTTCCGTATTCATTTTATTTGCTGCTTTATTTATTTTGGATATTTAAATTATCTTCCAGTTCCAGTGTTTGATGTTCATTAAAAATTTAAGTTTATTGATCATTAGGAGGGAGTAATATTCCCTCGTCATGATATTAAATAAAAAATGGCCTCAAAATGACATAATTACGGTTTGTTGCAACAATTTATCATCCAGCAAAATTTTCTATTGTTGCAGGACTTGATTGGCAATATGAATATGACTCATGCAACAGACTGAAGCTATTTGGAGACTTCAGGCATATTTTGGCATAAATTGTAACCTAAAATGGTCAGACATGAGTTTTATTGATGGAGGTTTGAATATTTTGGACATCAGAGTATAAACACTTTAATGACACCCTATCTTTAAGTTAATCAAATCCTGAAACAAAACCATCTTTAACAATGTTTTTGATTTTTGCAGTATTGAATAGAGCAGCAATCTGTGACCTTTGTGACTGTAAATAGGTTTGGTCATAAATAATAAAATGCAAACTAATTAAAATGCTCATTTTTAGTAGTTTCAATATTTTAAAAAAAAATCTAAAATGACACCTATGATATCAGTAATATTTTTCTTAAGTCGTTAGTTTTTTGTTAAGATGTTCCAAATAAAATATATTTTTTTATGGGTGTTTTATATTAATAGAAGTAATCTTCATTTGAAGAAACTGAATCCGTAAGCTTATGATTGTCTGATATATATATTTTTTATTTTAAATGGGGAAAAAAAAAACAGATTTTGAAGGAGATGATAAAAAACTTGAAGCAATATAGATTATACTGGCTGGAAAAAAGAACTTCTGGATGTCAAGGTTGCAGATTCATTAAGTAGGGTGATTTTTCTGCTGTTTGGATAAAAATGTATATTCCATCACTCTTGCAAACAGTGAATGGAGACGGTTTGTTAACATTGAGACATACAGAGAAATGCAGTTTTAATGTTTTGTTAACCAGAGCCAGTTCAAGAACTCCTAATCTGAATTTAAAGTCCAAATAAGCACATGGGGGATGCTTTTTAATTAATCAGTGTATGCTTTGACAATAGAAGGAAAAAAAAATACTGTATTTATCGTATAGCTTTAAAATAAGGCACATTTAAATATAAATCAATGTAGAATCTTCTGCATTTATCCAGTATAGGAAAAAACATTTTTCAATATATTTTCCGTACCTACTCAGACCTGGAAATGACTATAAAGTAAACTTTTCCAGATTGCACATAAATTAGGTGCTTTTCAGGTAGAATTACAAATCTGACAATTTTGATAAAACACTTCTAAAGGGTGGATAAACAAAACTCATTACTGCTCATGTCACACTAACAGGCCTGAGCTGCTCAGCCCTCTAAGCCATCCCCTACAATACTGTCAGCGATAATCAACCCAAAAAGAACAGTAAACCTTAAGTGAAGTCACAATTTTGGTTAATAGTCCAACAATTACTGAGAATACAAGAACATTGCAAGAGTGGTTCCTGCTGTTGCAAATACAAGCCAAACAGAGGGCCTGTGTTAAGGCCTCCTCGGGGAAACAGGTCTGCAGTGCTGTGGTCCCTCTAATGACTGTGACATTTTGTGTATCGATCAGCTTGTGTGGAAAGCCAAATCAATATGGACAAATACTGATACCAGAGACCGTGATAGGTAGACAACACCTCTTTAAAGTCACGTACATGCTTGGATGTAGAAGCAGGCAGAGAGGAAAATACAAGCCAGAGAGATCAATGCATCGACGAGGAAACTCCAGACCCTTTATAATTTTTAATTTGTAGCTGTAAAATGTTTAAAATTAGTTTCAAAGGGCATATGAAGGTGTTTTAATTAGATTTTTATAATCTAGAGTATTGTAACGGTATTAACAGTCCTTTGAGCTTTTTGTACAGAGTGCCATGATAAACACACAAACTTGAATGTGTTTTAGTGGGATTTTAAGTGACAGATAATAGTTAAGAAAGAAACGATTCCCTCTTAAAAGTAAAAATAGTTTTAAAAAACAACATTTAAAGTGCAGCGAACACTACCAAAAGCCATGTATTGATAGTTTAAGTTGTGTCACAATGTTTTTCTTGTCCGATTGTGGATTGAACAGTCCTTCATAAAATGCTGAACTGGATTTTATTTAACATAAAGGAGTTGAAACTGTTCAAATCCACTATCCTGCTCTGCTTTGTGTTGGACTATCACACAAAGTTTTTGCTTGTAGGGGGAAAGAAAGGACTATTTCAATAACTCGCATCAACATAGGGGTGGGAATTTATTATACTGTTTATCAATTATTGTGAAAAATTTCTCAAGAATTTTGATTTATTGTTATTACAATAAATGTCAATACATGTTCTTAAAAAACTGACTGAAATGTTATTTTACTAATTTCTGCAAAGCTTTTTCTTTGCGAGAGCAGCAATAAATATCAGTTCATTTAAACACAGCCATACAATGACCTAAAACAAAAGAAGTAATAAAAAGTTTATTATGATCAATTTTATCATTATCACATCAGAACTACAAAATATTGTGATGACATTCTAAGTCTTTTCTCTAAAAATCTGCGCCTCACCTTTGACGGTAACCTGTGCCGTGGCTTCGATCATGCCCAGAGAAGAGATGGCCACACAGGTGTAGTTGGCCGACTCTCGGATGCTGGTGACCTCCAGCACGTTGCGGCCCAGCGGCATGTCCTCCTCCTTGGTCAGCTCCACCTGACCATGGTCCATTTGACGTAGGGCATGGGCGAGCCCACCGCAACGCACGTCAGGTTGACGCTGCCGCCCGGCATCACCTCTTGGTTGTTGGGTGGAATAGAGAATCTAGGTGGGACTCTTCGCACTGAGACGAAAAGAAAATGAAAGGAAATGAGTGTGAGGGTTTGCAAGGTAAAGACAATCCTTCCTTGTGTGAATGTTCCTTTCTCTACGCAACGTCACAAAGAAAAAGAAATTCTCCGAGTTTAATAGAAAGGAGGAGCTGATCACTTTTGTCCAAATGTGCGGGCGAGCACAAAGGGAATGAAAGGATCGTCACAAAATGGCTCTGGATATTCGGAAGAAATCTTTTTTTTTTATCCCCCCCACAATAAGAGAAAATATTACCAAAAATAGTCCAGTTTTGCAAGAGACTATGCCCGGACCTCTTTTGTCAAAGTGTCAAACAGTAGCGGTAGTTGCATCATTGAGGGACCCTGTGGAGATGCTATTGTTTGATTTCTCCTCCCTCTCACTTTCTCTCCTCTTCTCTCTTTCTCTCTGGATCCTTCATCTCTCTCCCTCCGTCTTTTTCGCTCTCTTTGTGCAGTTCTGATATGCAGATAGGCTGACATTAAACAGAGGTTCCCATGGAGACGAGAAGGGCCCGTTGACGTCGCTTGGGACAAGGCAAACACCAATTCAGAGGGTCTATGGCGTCCTGAAAAGCTAGCCCAGGATAAACAGGCAGCCAGCATTTACATATGACTTTCTGTCTCCATGAAGATGCATACCAAAAGCCTCTCATATTTACACATTTTAGATCTCTTTCCTGGGAACTTTTGGCAAGAAAGTTATCCAGTTGACACTGCGGTGCAAAAAAAAAAAAAAAAAAAAGTGACAGCACTTTGTGAACATCCATTAGTGTCACACCTGTTAAATTTATGACATGTTCCAGCAGTGTGCACTCAATCTAAGAGTTAGAGGCTCTAGCTTCTTTATCCTCTGCTATGAGGAAAGTGAGGCTTCGCCAAACATTTAGCTTCCCGCTGAGAACCCATTATTTCTATTCCATCTCTGCTGTTCATATGTTTCCAAGACACTAACAGCAAAATAAAAAGAAAATACTCTCCCTGCAGAATTCGCACTGCTTGTCTCCCTTAATGCACTACAGTATCTCCGTGTGTCTCAGAAAAAGAAACTAACAAAAAAAAAACAGAAAAAAAAACCCTCGACTATAATTGCTCTTATGCTTGGGTCTACACGAAAATGGATTTTCAAATACGAGTCTACATCCAGTCCCCATCGTCAAAACCCTTCACCCCCCTCTCCCGGATCTAATTTGAACCGGAACGTCGTTACAGCCATGCTTGTTATTCCCCTCATTATGTGGTGAAATGGAAAAACACAAAAGCACCTTTTGAGATTCCAGTCAGGGAAAAAGGCTGGTTCTCTGGCCGTAATAAGTGGGAGGGTGGAAACCAGGTTCACATTCATCTGAATGTTCCCATAATAATTGAGGTTCTGCATGCAGACTTTCTGCTGTTTTAATCAACAGATTCACGTGGGATGAAGCTACTTGGCTCAGTATCAAAAAATAATTAATATCCCAAGTTTGAGCCGCAGAACATTTTGGCAGCTCTGCTTTTGGAATTTGGCCTCGTGAGATTCTGTCGCACAATCCTCAGCAGCAGAAACGGCCAAAGTTGGATAAGACTAAAGTTGACTTTCCTCAACATTTAATTAAGTTTTTAAAATGGGGTTTCATGATGAATGGATGTCATGACACGTCAACTTTTATAAAATAAATAAAACATTTTTTGTTTTTGTTGGACAGTTGAGCTGCTAGCTCTAAAAGCAGATAGAGATGCTGGTCTGAACTAAAGCATGCATGGGAGCTGGAGGATTTGGAGCAAACAAGAGATACCTTAAAAAATTGCCGGACTGAGTTTCAGCTTGTTTGGCCTCCACAGGATTTTTTTGGTGTTTTTTTTTCAGTCAGTAAACGCACCTTACCTAAGCACATCCAGGTTGCAGTTACAGTAGCACTCTATGGCATCAATGCCATATTCGAGTTTGAGAATGGCGTCAGAGAAATCAGATAAATCTAACGAGCTAAATATCTGTTTTTAAGAAAACATCGAAAAAGGTTCGAGTTAAATCAGCCAGCAAGAGAGAGAGACTTCAGCAAAACTTTGGTCAACAACAGCAAGGCTGTTTTGTTCTTCTAAGTTTTTCATCTATCCATTTCTCTTTAGAAATAATGATTTTATTATTGCTGAAATCTCAAAGTTCAGGTAACTAAGAAAGAAACTAAGATACTGTTGTCTCAGCAATGCTAACCACAAAATATGCATAAAAAATGTTTTGTTTTTCAGATGCAGAAGACAGTTTAAGAGTAAACACAAAAAGCATTATGAAAGAAAAAAAAACATGTTTTACAACTAATCCCTAACATGTACAGTGTGACGTTACCTTTTCTCTAAATATAGTGAATTAGCAACCATTTGTGTCAAGAAGTTAATTCAAATATTTTGATTACTGTTCTTACTTCTTTTATAATAGTTATTTATTAATTGCTGATTTCAAGACAATGAAAAAGTATGAGTAAGGGGAAAAATCTGACATTTTTGTTCAAATTCCTTTAATAATTGACTGAAGGACTTCCAGTTGAAGCACTTCCGTTGAGTTCATATTGGAGGCCATGTGTGTCTTTTTACAGTAATGTTTCTTTTGTTCATTTTAATTCTCAGAACAAGCAGACAAAAGAAGGCCAAATATAAAACCATGAATCCATTAAGCTCAAAGCAGCAGTTGTTCTTTCGTGATTCCATAGACTTAAGAGTACTATGAGCAGTCAGTCAATGAGGGCTTGTGTATATTGAACACTTAATGTTGTGAATAATTCATGGTGCGCGGTTAAGTTTGGAGAGGTGCTGTGGAACAAAATGACTAGAGGGCAGGTAATTGTTATCGATTCCCCCGAAGCCTCTCTCCTGTCGAGAGCGGCTCGGAGAGATGGGCTCCGGGACTCTATCAAAACCACAAAATAAGCCCTGTCTCCACTCTGCCTGCCTGCTTCTGGATACCTATAAATTTAACTGCCCTGACAAAGTGCCCAAGGATAGCAGAACCTGTCCAGTCAATCAATATCTGGCACAAACTGGCACAGAGTCAGCAGGCTGCGAGTCTTCCTGGCAGCAGCGTCTCTGGGCGGCCATGATGGCTGATCATCCCCCTTGTCAGCACTCTGGCAGCTCATTCTTAAATATTCTACAGGTCAGCTGTTTGTGAGGCAGAGATGTGCAAATGGAAGCCAAGGAGGGAAAAATTCCTGAGAATCGCCTCGGTCTTGACTACAGTGAATGGTACAAATTGTAATGTAAGTTCAGTTTGTTGCATCATGAATCACCTGTAATTAGGTTAAAACATCTTTTAGCACAAAATCTGATATTTCTTGTCAATTAGAGTAAAGGATTTGGGAAGATATTCTTTGATGGTTCAGAAATAAAGGTTTTGAGACAATGATGTTGTTATTGACTAGCTCTGTTGTGTTATGACTAAAGGTTGAGTAAAATAGAAAACTAGTAGCCACTTCATAAAACCATTAACACATTTGTAAAACAGGGCCTTTTATATGTTTCGTTTTTTGGGTATAATGATCAACTTAAAGTCATAAAAGCTTATGAAAATAAACATGTTTGTACACTGATTAGAGCTTAAGATTTGTTGTGAACTTATTTTTGAAGATAAACAGATTTTTATTTTTCCTCAAAACAGTGTTGAAATCTTGCCTCATTCTCATAAAAAGAACGTCATGAGCGAGATTTATCTTTACACTTACACTAGTAAATAAATCCCAGAAACACTGGAAGATGTTTTTCTCTTCTCATTAGTCCATAATGTGACCACGACATCCTTCAGTCTCCAGGTGGAAGCTGCCCACGCTGGTAAAACAGACATCCCCAGAAAGGCTTTGTCAGCTCCAACACCCATGTCCCTCAGTGGGAGAGCCGGGGTGTTGCTGCCTAAATACCTGACAAATCCGGTTGCCACCTGAATACCCAAGTAATCCATCACACACCTCTGATGGCCCTACACAGGCGGATGGAAAGCCTAACAGTGAAAGCTGCTGTAGCTGTTGGTGGATACAGTTAACAGGAAGGACACGGGCGGGCAAGACGAGGAAGAATGCTGATACAACGGAGGGCTAATAATGACTTAAGCTAACTGCTCAGGGACTCCTTTATACGTTTTGGCAAGACTAATTGAAACACACTTTGGAGGAGTGGCAATGGAAAGCATGCAAGAGCTGTAAAGGGATCCATGCAAACACATAGACAAGAGTACACAATTGAACTGTGAGGATTAGGGAGAGTTATTAATTATGTATTCATCTTTAGGGGAAAGGATACCTGTGCTTTCACAACAGGAGATGGAGGGAGGGATGGAGAGGACCTTTCTCTGAAAAATCTGCACTAATGGGGAGGAAGTGACAGAAAGTGAAAATGACCAACCTTTGTACTGACCTGTTTTCGGGTCAAGTGATTTGTTGATGTGGGCTGATGAAATGAAAGATACAAAGTGAGGAGGAAGACAAACAGTGACACAGACAGGTGCTTTTGAGCATCATGTATGAACAAAATATGTTTTTTTTTAGCTTTTTTATAGTGTCTATTTTAATATCTAAAATACTTTGACTTGTAAAACTTGAACTGTTGGATTCTACACTGAATACAGATTATTCAATGACATTGTTCTGAATCTAAATTATTTTCACAAAATAAGAGGATTTTAAGCGCAAGGTTTTCCGTTCTCCAATATATAGACGGACAAATAGAATTGGGGCAACGTAATTTCTTGAAAATATATAATATTTAATCTCATTATAAAAGCCGCCACTTGTATAATATTGGGCACTCTGTAAAAATAAAAAATAAAAGAAATGGTAATGTAACAGATCAGACCAATTTCTGATCATTGTGAAAATATAATGACCAGCTAACAATTAGCTGCTAATCATGCTAACATTAGCATCTGCTTCACAAGATCATGCCAGCACTTAATCCCTGTTTTTCAGTTTTTAAAATGAGTTTGGATTGTATTTAATTATCTCTATCTGAAAACCAACATTAATTTTGTCCA